GAAGGAAGCCCCCAAGCCACAACCACACAGCATAAGCATGATCTAACCTTTCAAATCTTCAAAACCCGAAAGCTCCTACACCCCTAAACCCTCAACCCGAAGCCATAAGCCCTAAGCTCTAAACCCTGAATGCCCCCAGACACCCCAAGCTTCCAAACTCCCCAAACCCTGAAGCCTCACCCTTCTTGCCTTAGGGGAGCTTCCTGAAAGAGGATGTATCCGAGCAGTGGACCTTGCCATCCAGGCACTTTCCGGTCGGGGGAGGGGGTGGAACGGGGGGGCGGAGATGAGATGACTAAGGGGTCAAGGGTTCAAAGTGGGGCTGGAGCTCCAACAGTTTGGGGTTCAGGGCCCCATCCATCCGTCCGTCCATCCATCCATCCCTTCATACATGCATGCGTACGTACATACACATACTCCCATGCATACAGAGTCTCCTACATGCCGACATACACCCTGCAACCCTAGAAGTTTCTTACATAGCGAGAGGTTAGTAGCTAGACATTTACATGCTCACCAGATGTGTTGTATCTTCGAGACGGTTGCATGCTTCCTGCTTTCGTTTCACTGACTATGACCAGTGTCTAGTTTTCTGATGATTGTCGTTCTTGCTGTTTGTTGTGACACTCGGAGACCGCATCCTCAAGGTTTGTCCCCAGACGAAGCAAGGATCTCGCAAAGAAGATAAGCCGAAAGCAGTTCTGTGCACTCAAACCCAAGCCCCTAAACCCTTGAACCCGAACCAGAAGAAGACCCTAAACCCTAAAAACCCGCTGCGTCTGGGCCGACCCCAGAGTCGGGAAGCCTGGAGCCTTGAAGCTACTTGAAGCTCACCAAGACCATATGGGCGATTGTCAAAATTATTGTCCCTTTTTGGGTACCCTACATATTAGGTGCCGTACTATAATAAGGACCCAAAAAGGGACCTTAATATTGACAACTTGACAACCACCCATATGGAGCCACATGATGGTCCCTTTTTGGGTCCCTATTACAACACGGCGCCTATTATTTAGGCTATTTAGGGTACCTGAAAAGGGGCCATAATTTTGACAACTTCCCATATAGAAACGGAATTGCCCATTTCAACCTCTTAACTACTGAAAAGGGCCTCTCACAGCTCATCAGGAGGCTGAGAAGATGTTTGCCAATCCCTACAGCTAACCTGAAGAGACCAAAACAGAATCATAGAGAGTCTTTGGTGTAGAGGCCTTGTAAGCATTAGAATAGAGTATTGGGGCCCACTTTCGAATAATCATATACAGCAGGGACAGGACGAGACCTGCAAATTACCCGACCCTGAACCCTCAACTCTAAACCCTAAGCCCCAAAAGCTACATGCAGTTTGTTCTAACAACATGCTCTGGCGAGGAACAGGAGAGCTTCCAGCAGGCTCTGAGAAAGAGCTCCTGGACAAGTTTACTGCCAAGTGCTGACTGTTAGGCCTCGAGATGGCTAGGGTTTAGGGCTTTTTGGGCTTAAGGCTCTAGGCGTTTTGGGGTTTAGGGCTTTGTGGGTTTAGGGCTGTTGCGCTAGGGGTTTAGGGCATTTGGATGAGTTTCGGGGTATTGGGCTCTAGGCCTTAGGGCATTTTGGGCTGTAAGGGCTTTAGGGTTTAGGGTCTTAGGAACGTTGGTAGGCTTCGTGGTGCAAAGCCCTGAGCCCTAAGCTGTCTCGTGGAAGGCTCTTCTCACCCCGAACCATCCCGTTTTTTCGAAGCATACGTTAGTGTCTAGGCTGTAATTCGAAGGACCCGATACTGGAAGTGCTGCCACCCTCTCAATACTCGGAAGAGGATGGGTGGGCGTGCATATGTACACAGACTCACATTGATATTCTATAGGCATAGCGACATCTATTGCTGACTATGGTTCCATATCTGCCACTATCCGGATCCCCGTGCAGAAGAAGAATCGGGTCCTCATACTCCTCCGGTAGGAGTTTTTAGATCGTGGTGCTCGGGCGGCCTCCGTGACTGCTTCAGCGCACACCGGGAGCGGTTTAGGGTTTAGGGGTTAACGGTTTAGGGTTGGGCTAAATGGCTACGTTAAAAGCTTCATGAGCACTTCTTGAAGTAAGTCTGTCCCTCAACCCTGAACCCTGAACCAAACCGAAAAGCCAGCAAATGGGAGTCCTCAACCCTCTACCCTAAACCCTAGACCCTTCAACCCTAACCCTAAACCTCAGTAACACTTTGGGAACCCCAGCCAAAGATTCGGCTCCTCGACGCGACGCTTCGGGCTTGCTGTTTGGAGCTTCGGGTTTAGGGTTTAGGGCTTAGGGTTTAGGGCTTTGGACTTAGGGTTCAGGGTTTCGGGGTGCGGGCTTAGGGTTTAGGCTTGCTGCCATGGCTCTTCTGGTGTGATTGTAATTTGCAAGGTAAGTTTAGTAACACATCTGCAGTTAATGTTGCCCCGGGGCAATCGTCGGTCGGTAGTCTCATATACCACCAAGACCCCGTCTTATCATTCACCAGACACCCGAGAAGTTTGGGGAGTTTAAGTTGGGGGTTTTGAGCTTCCGGTTCAATCTGGGTTTAGGTGACTCAGGGTTTAGGGTTTAGGATGAGGGTTCAGTTAGCAACCGTTACCGGTGCTGGATCGCGGCTGTACAAAATGCTGCCTGCTCCTCACGAACTTCTGAGCACCAAAGTTATACCTGAATAGTTACCGATACTGTTGATGATTTAAACCCTGCATTTCCTTAAGGGCCCTAAACCATGGGAATAATGGTCTATTCTTAGTATGGGTAATGCAGGGTTTCTATCACCAACCAATATCATGCCTTCGGGGGCTTGCTGTTAAGATACGTAGCCTTTGAGGGTTTAGGGCCTTTTTGGATTTAGGGTTTAGGGCCTTTGGGGGCTTAGTGTACCCCAAGGCCCTAATCTAAGTTGTCAATGCTGCTACACTCGACCCCGTAAGCGAAACCCCGGCTTTCTCACGGCTTTGAAACCTTCAAGGCGATGTTCTTAAGCTCGAGTTTAGGGCTTAGGGTTTTGGGGTTTTGGGTTTAGGGTTTAGGGTTTAGGGGTTTAGGGTTTAGGGTTTAGGGTTTAGGGGTTTGGGTTTGGGTTTAGGTTGGGAGATCTTATATCAAGCGTCCTGCTATTCAGGCTTGATATTGTTGCCCCGAGTACCTGAAAGCCCTGCTTTCCTGAACTCCGAAACAGCGCGCAGACGCGAGACAGAACCGAGCAGAGAAGATTTTGTAAGGGTTTTTCGAGCAACTAGTAATCGCAACGTAACCTTGCATTATCCCTACGCAAGTATGGTAGAAGATACTCCCAAACTGCAGTCGGTTTATTGAAGTCCCCCCGGAAGCATTAAACTCTGAAGCCTTGAGCCCAAAGTAGACCCTTAGCCCTAAAATTTGAATTCGTTATCTCCGTCTGGGAGGTGGAGGTTGTTGATGCTACTGAGGAGCTCGAGGGTGGGATTGAGTATAGTTCGTGGCGAAGCTTGTGAGAAGCTATGAGGAGGCTTGGGCTTCTTCAACGGTGTCAGGATGAAATGAAAAGTGGATGTGGGTGAAGCTCTACTACCTCCCTACCTCCCTACCTCCTTACAACCTGTACTACATATGACAAGCTCCCTCTGGACTACCTATGACGGTTTTTCTCGGAAGCTACCCATACGAGGTAGCCGTATGCCTCGTTCCAGAAAGGACTCAGTAGGAGGGTTGGGTCTGGCATGTAACCCTGAAGCCTAAACCTCTCAAGCCCTGATGCGAAGCGTCCTAAATTGAGTTCTGCCAGAAGTTTCGGAATCGTCCCAGCAATGGCCTCAAAGCAAGAGCCTTCCTCTGTCATGATCTGCGGATCCAAAAAACGCACCAGGATGGAGGGTTCAGGGTCGACTTTAGGAGTTTAGGGTCGACTTTAGGAGTTTAGGGTTGAGGGCATAGGGTTTAGAGTTTAGTGTTCATGATTCCGGGTCGAGGTTTAGGCGTCATGCAGGGTGCAGGATCTAGGTCTTGGGGTGTCGGGTTTCGCTTTTCTGGGGCTGCAAGGAGTAGAAGTAGTGTTCCTCACTAATCTTTGCCTTACAGTATAGTGCGTAATCACCCAAGCCCCATTCGTTGCAGATGCCGGTGGAGAGTGCCTGGGTTTGGGGGAGTTGTGAGCTTTGGCTGCTACGCTCTGTTTGTTAAGGCGCTTAATCTAAGCTACCGTAATACGAAGTCTTTTCTGCAGCCCTAAACCGCACACAGACGGAGCTCCACTAGAACTTGAATGTGGAGATTTCCAGCTTCTTGACTTTCAAGTTCAGGCCCCGGCAGCACCCTGAAGCAGCCCCTCGACTCCATGAGCCACGAGAAAGAGAAAGCCCTAGCCCTAAACCCTAACCCGGAGAGCAAGGGTATGGGAGTTTGGGAGATAAGAGCTTTCCCGCTATACGGGAACCATGCTGTAGCTGCGAAGTATTGTAGGGGACAAGCCCAAATAGCTCGCAATATTTTCCTCGTACTGTCCCTCTTATCATCGCCGTAGTATCATGTCCACCAAAGGCCCTATATAAGTATCTTGCACCCAAAACTCTAAACCCCACAGCCCTAAACCCATGACCCAATTACCCTAAACCGAATTACCCTAACCCTAAACCCTTCAATTGCTACTGATCGTATATCAGCCCCATCAAACCATCAACTTAGCTTTGGTTCGTAGGGAATGGAGGAATGGGGTACAATTCTAAATACTCTTACTATCAGTCTTCCATTCCCTACTAACCAAAGGTAAGTCAAAAGGGATCCCCCAGTCTGGGGTTCACGAGTTCATAGACCTTGGCATTTCTCCAGGGCAGAAGTCAGAAACATGAGGGCTCTCGAAACCCTACACCTCAAAGCCCTGAAATACTCTGAAGCCTTAGACTTAACCCTATAACCCTAAACCCTAAACCTATAACCCTAAACCTATGACCCTAAACCTTAAACCTATACCCCTACAAGGCCCTACACTCCCAAAGCCCTGCACTTAAAGGGGAGCGGATCTTGTCGGCCAGGGCCTGGACCAAGCCGGATTTGGGGATCTGCAGGCGGCGAGTGGGTCAGCTTTAAAGGGTTTAGGGGGTTCTTGGGGTTTAGGGTTTAGGGTTTGGGGTTTAGGCTTTTTGTATGAGAAGAAGATTATTCAGTGTACGGCTTGTACTAGGAGTTCTGAACCGCATATGGTATGTGCTTGTTGAACTTGCTCCTGCATGCGTTTGTGCTTGTGACTAGCCGTGGTTGCGACGGGATGACCGTGATGGTGCCGCTGCTGCTGCTGCTGCTAGTGGTGATGCTGGAGAAGAGAAGACGAAGCGATGATGCCGACGTGCCTTTGCTGATGCACGGGTTGATGATGACGATGTTGATGACCCTGCTAGCGTTACTGTTGTTGCACATTGAGGCTGTGGTGACGATGATGATGTGAACAGACAAGGTGGATTTCATGAGGCTGGGTGTTGCGGTTGATAGTTTCGTCGATGTTGACGATGATGCCGATAGGCATAATGTTGATGAGGATGAAGGCACCAGTAGGTGGTCATGGTGGTGGGTTGTTGGTCGTGGTGGTTGTGGCGGTGGTGCTGGTGGTTATGCGGGTCTGCTGGTGGTTCTGTCGAAGAATGCCACAGTAGCCTGTTTTCGCAGTTTGGGTATAAAGGATCCGGTGTTCGGTGGCGAGTAGCGTCGGAGCTTAATCGAGCGATGAAGATGCTGCTCTTTAGCCGGACCAGAATCAGGCTGAAAAAAAGTGGTACCGTTTTCCGGTGCGATCAAGCTTGCCTCAGCCCTAAACCCGAAACCCTAAGCTCAACCTGTCTTCGGCAAAGAGATCCTTTCAATAAGGTCAAGGATCCAAGGAGGTTTGACCCGTTGAGCAGGTTCTGGATGCTGAGTAATCCCATCATGTTTTCCTGGACCAGCGTGAACCTGCAAGCTGGTTGAGAATCGGGCACCCTAAATCAACCCTACACCGTAGGGTTGCTCCCAACGAAAAGCCCGGTTGAGGACTTCGAAGTCAGGTTCCTGGGTGGCCCGGCTTATAGGGTTTAAAGGGTTTAGGGGGTTAGGGTTCAAGGGTTTAGGGTTTAAGTAGCAGCGACTTGACTGCAGCATGTGCTCCCAGGCGAGAAGAACTAGAGGCTCTCGCCCAAATCCTGAAGGAGGGGGCCTCTGTAAGTAGCATAGGGTCTTGGAGTTTTTCAGGTGTTTTGATTCTAAGACTAATTGACCCTCATAAACCCTAAACACCGGAATACTGTTTTGATTGTTTTGTCTGGAAAAGCTCCACATTCGTAGGATCTTCCGGACATCTCCATTGATCCGGAGGAGAAGGTGGGCCGTTGGTTTTGTGTTAGGGCTTCAGGTTGGGGGTTTAGGTTTTCGGGTTTAAGTTTTTAGGGTTTAGGGGGTTTAGGGTTGGGGTTTGGGGGTTTGGGGTTTAGGGTTTAGGGTTGCGGGTTTGGGGTTTGGGCGTTTAGGGTTTGGGGTTTGGGGTTTAGGGTTTAGCAGAAGTTTCTCAGACCTTTGCCGAGCGTTGTTAGGACGTTGTGGTATGTATTTTTTTTTTGGGGGGGGGGGTTGTGTGTTAGTGACTGCTCTGTCGGACAGCACCCCTTGTTGCACCCTTATCCCCAAACCCTAAACCCTAATCCTAAACCCCAAACCCTAAAGCTCAACCCCCCCCCAAGAAAACCCTGTTACAGTTCGGCCCACAGGACGTCCTGTAGGAAGACTTTGGCTCTCATGACGCTCTCGCGCGAGATTCGACAGCTACGTTAAACCCTGTGCAGTGTCGACGTCACTCACAAAAGTCTTCGAAGAGCACAGGTCTTGACCGCGATCAACAACAGCGATGACAGAAGGCTTGTTTAGGGTGGGTATCGAGGATTACCTAGTCGTAGAGTAGGTAACCTTTAGCCGCCTTTTTCGGGGGTACGTATTCTACTCCCGACAAAAACCGAAGTGTTAACTTGTAAATTCCCCTGTGTATTTGGACATGTAAGATTGAATGCGACGGCGCTGAACATTAAGCGACTGCTCAGGCCGTGAGTACTTGTTTGCAAGAGGCGTGTTTGTAATGTGTGCCCGGCTGCTAGTCAGAAGACTCGAGGCCGCATGGCATGAGTCATGGCTTGTTAAACCCTAAACCCTAGACCCTAAGCCCTAAACCCTTAATCCCTAAACCCTAATCCCCTAGTCCCTAAACCTTGAACCCTATGCCCTAACACACTCTACGAAAGCCGTATGGAGCCTCCCCAGACCTAGGCATCCGGTGTCTCAGGGTAGGGTCCAGGAGGGCTTCTGTGGGGGGCTTTATTAAATGGGAGTTTCCGAAAATTAGGGGTACCTTAGGGTTCCTTAAAAAGGTGACTACAAGGGTACTATAAGGGTTCCTTTTAAGGGCTACCATAGGGGTTTAGAGTTTCCGAAAATTAGGGGTACCGTATTTCGGGGGCCGGGGTCCTTGGGTCCCCTTTTTTTGGAAACTCCCTTATTGGCTGCAAGCAGACTTCTTCTTCCTGCAGTCCAGCAGGCGTTTGGCGTTTAGGATTTCGGTGCGTTTAAGGATGCCTCAGCTGCCAACGTCTCAACTGCAGAACTTCGGAGACCACAGCCCTTGAAAATACTGTTGATGGACATAATCTTGCATCATCCATGAAGAGGGCTAGATTATACAAATTATATCACAAGTGGTGCAGGATTCTGTCATATTTTGTCAATGCTTCCAGGTGCTTTTGCATCTCGCTCCCTGCCTCATCGATTCGCTTCAAAGGCGGGACCTCTGAAAGGAGCTTGCAGGCTGCTCCAAGAATCTGAAAGCGCATACTCGTATCTTGGGTACGGCCCCCACTCCGTAATAGTTGAAAAATATTCAGAATATAGATATATTTATGGGCTGCCGCCACTGCCGCCGACCCCAAAAGAAGAGAGGTGACTATCCAAGGAACGCAGCAGGTGTTGAAAGCAGCCAACTGCAAGTCTTGTAACTGGCACGAGTAGCATGAGCACATGACTGATGCGGCGAAGTATTCGGACTGACGCAGTGCTCAGCTCTCGGACATTGTGTGCGCATGTTTCAGCAACCTTTTGTGACTCAGAGGCAAAAGGCATCCGCACAAAACCGAGTTTAGCCGGAAGGCTGTATTCGATATGCTTAAGATACGGAGCCAGTGCAGTTGTGGCCACGGGATGGTACGACATGGTACGACAAAAAAGTCGCGCGCGCGCGGCGGCGCATCGCAAGGCCGGGGCGGGCAGTGAGGACAATAAAGGTAGTGTGGGCGGTGTGGGCGGTGGGGGCGCGGTGGGGTCCGGGCACACATTGGCAGCCTTTAAATACTTATTTTACTCTTTAAACACCTACAAATACAGCGGGCGGTGGGAACGGTGAAAGCGGTGGAGGGGGATGAAGGTGGTGGGGGTGGTGAGGGCGGTGAGGGCGGTGTGGGCGGTGTGGGCGGTGGGGGCGCGGTGGGGTCCGGGCACACATTGGCAGCCTTTAGATACTTATTTTACTCTTTAAACACCTACAAATACAGCGGGCGGTGGGAACGGTGAAAGCGGTGGAGGGGGATGAAGGTGGTGGGGGTGGTGAGGGCGGTGAGGGCGGTGTGGGCGGTGTGGGCGGTGTGGGCAGTGTGGGCGGTGAGGGCGCGGGGGGGTCCGGGCACACATTGGCAGCCTTTAAATACTTATTTTACTCTTTAAACACCTACAAATACAGCGGGCGGTGGGAACGGTGAAAGCGGTGGAGGGGGATGAAGGTGGTGGGGGTGGTGAGGGCGGTGAGGGCGGTGTGGGCGGTGGGGGCGGTGTGGGCGGTGGGGGCGCGGGGGGGTCCGGGCACACATTGGCAGCCTTTAAATCCTCTTTATTCTTTAAACACCTACAAATACAGCGGGCGGTGGAGACGGTGAGAACGGTGAAAGCGGTGGAGGGGGATAAAGGTGGTGGGGGTGGTGAGGACGGTGAGGGCGGTGTGGGCGGTGTGGGCGGTGGGGGCGAACGTGGAAAGCGGTGGATGAAGGTGGTGGGGGTGGTGAGGGCGGTGAGGGCGGTGTGGGCAGTGGGGGCGGTGTGGGCGGTGTGGGCGGTGGGGGCGCGGGGGGGTCCGGGCACACATTGGCAGCCAAGGTGGTGGGGGTGGTGAGGGCGGTGAGGGCGGTGAGGGCGGTGGGGGCGGTGTGGGCGGTGGGGGCGCGGGGGGGTCCGGGCACACATTGGCAGCCTTTAAATACTCTTATATACTCTTTAAACACCTACAAATACAGCGGGCGGTGAGAGCGGTGGAGACGGTGGGAACGGTGAAAGCGGTGGAGGGGGATGAAGGTGGTGGGGGTGGTGAGGGCGGTGAGGGCGGTGTGGGCGGTGTGGGCGGTGTGGGCGGTGAGGGCGCGGGGGGGTCCGGGCACACATTGGCAGCCTTTAAATACTTTTTTTACTCTTTAAACACCTACAAATACAGCGGGCGGTGAGAGAAGCGGTGGAGGGGGATGAAGGTGGTGGGGGTGGTGAGGGCGGTGAGGGCGGTGTGGGCGGTGGGGGCGGTGTGGGCGGTGGGGGCGCGGGGGGGTCCGGGCACACATTGGCAGCCTTTAAATACTTTTTAAAAGGGCGGCGGTGGCGGTAGGGGCGGTGTGGGCGCGGAGGGGTCTGGGCACACATTGGCAGCCTTTAAATACTCTTATATACTTTTTAAACACCTACAGATACAGCGGTGAAGGACTCTTTAAACAGAGCGGTGGTGGAGGTTGTGAGGGCGGTGGGGGCACTGGGGGCGCGGAGAGGTCCGGGCACACATTGGCAGCCTTTACATACTCTTTAAACACCTGTAACAGCGGTGAAAGACTCTTTTAACAGAGCGGTGGAGGCGGTGGAAGCGGTGTGGGTGCGGACACCTCTCGGGATATCACGGGCGCCGCCCGCAGGGGTCGGCGGATAAGGACCTTAGTAGTAGCCCTATTATGGACTCTTACTGTAACGGGGCAGTACCATACTCGTATCGGGGAACACTGGGCCGTTGTCCGATAGGGGCCCGAAGGGTTCGAAGGTTTGGGTCAAAGGGGAAAAGGAGGGACCCTTAATGGGGACCCCTACCCTAAAATGGGGCTATATAATAAGTATATACTAGCTATATCCGAGAGGTCCTTATTAAGGGTCCCTCCTTTTTCTCTTGGATTGGGGGGTACAATGCAATTCAGCTCTGCGGAACGCCATTAGGCCCCCGATTATCAACCCATGCCTCCCCCTGGATGATAAGGATGATAGCTCAGGTCCTAATATGGCGTTTTCCGAAAATAGGGGACCCTAATATAATACTCTAAATGGCAGGATCCTTACAATAAGGACCCCAAACTAAGGTACCCCTGATTTTCGGAAACTCCCATATAATTTGGGCCCAGAAAAACGATGCTTGTTCGCACAGTCAGGGGCTTCCATGGTGTGTATCAAACCCTCGAAATTTCGGAGTATAAGTCCTTCGCTCGTGAAGCCCTGGGCATCCTAGTAACTCTCATGCAATCCATACTGAACCATTCTGATATGCCTTATCTTTCCGCCCAGTGAGCCCTCATTCATGCCCTCATCAGACCATGGAGCTTTAAACGAAAAAAGGGGACACGCAGAACAACAACCCCTAGGCAATAGAAGCTGTCTGGTGCTTAGTAGGGAATGGGGGAATGGATCCGTATGATAGTCCCTTAAGGTCCGCTGTAGTAGTCCCAATAACCCACTCCCCCCTTCCCTTCTCAGAACCAGACGGAAAAAACACCCCTGTAAGCCCTGCACCTAAGAAGGATCCCGTGAACCCTACTTGGAGGTTCATGGGTAGTTATAAGTGGGGTTATAAGTAGGGCAACTATACTTATAACTCACATTTGGGGACTTATAACCCCACTTATAACTACCCCTGAACCTCCAAGTAAACCCCCAAAGGCCGAGCCAGGCTCTGAGGTTCATTTGAGGTTGCAAGAGCCCTAGACGCCCAAACCATGAAGGCCCACTGGTAGAAAATTGAATCGCTCTGCAGCCCTACGGCTCTAGACCCTCACGGTTTAGGGTTTAGGGTTCGGGGAAGGCCTACTGGTAGAAAATTGAATCGCTCTGAAGCCCTACGGCTCTAGACCCCCTGCCCCTAGCCCCTTCACCCTGAATCCTTCCAACCTCGCCCGCCCTTAGCCCCTATACGTTTTAGGGTTCGGTGTGTGTTTGGTTTTGGCGTCGGAGTCGACTTATCGATGTTGCAGTCTTTCGAGCTTTACGCTTTAATTTGGCCTCGGCCGACTTCCTGAACCTTTAGTCCTCTCCAGGGTTCTTAGCAGGTGTCCAAATTCTTTGGGGATTCTTTTGTGGCAGGGTCCTGAATGTTTGCCTTGGTGTCTTTGGGGATGTAGAACGTTGGGTTTCTTCCTCAGGCTCTCACTCTACTTCCTCCGGGCCACCTTCCAGCCCAAATTGAGTTGTTGTTTTGTTCAACACTGCATCGCAATCTTATGTGTGTGTGTGTGTACGGACCTATGGGTGTTGCGAACTAGGAGACTTTCAAGGTACGGGTCTTCATGAAGCCATCGTGGAACCGAGTACCCTCAACCCTAAACCCCGATTTTTTGGAGCAGCATCCTTTTCAGGCAGTGTGCGTGCAGAACGTTGGTCGAAGATTTAACTTTGACCCTTCAATTCGTTGGAGTGGTATAAGATTGTAGAACGGAACAGAAAAGCCCGCGGATACTTATGCCTGAATTGCTAGCGTTGAACATGCCATAAGTCTCGTACTTTAGGGTGCTTGGGGTAACCCATGGGATACCGTCTATGTGCAGTATCTACTGGCTGCCTTGTCGCCAGGGCGCAGACGGCTGCTGGCTCCGGGCCACGCACGGAGAGACGGACCGAGGATTTGAGTTTAGTTTTTTGGTTGGCGATGCTTGCTGTTGATGAGTGTGCTGACGCTAAGGGTTAGGAAGATGATGGTGAGGCAGTGGAATACCAGCATGTCTTTGTTAGTGCTGCTGATGGTGACGACGCATGTCTTCGACGACGTTGCTCTTGAATGAGCCATAATTTATGTTTTTGTTGTGGCTATTTGCGCATGTGCTATTCGTATTCGTCTATTGTCAAACTTTGTTCAACCCCGAGCTACCCTAAACTTAAGCCGCTGGCCTTGCACTTGTTCTTGTTGTCATTGCTCATGTTCTTGTTCTCGATCTTGGGTTTATTGTTCATGTTATTGTTAGTGTTATCGTCCTTGTTGTTGTTCTTGTTGCTGTTCCTGTGATTGTCTTATTATTGTTATTGTCTTCTTATTATTATCGTTATTGTCCTTGTTCTTGTTATCGTTATTGTTCTTGGTGTCGTTGTTGTTGTTGTTGCTGCTGTTGCTGTCGTCGTTGTTGTTGTTGCGGTCGTCGTCGTCGTCGTCGTCGTCGTCGTCGTCGTCGTCGTCGTCGTCGTCGTGGTTGTTCTTGTTGGTGGTGGTGGTGGCGCTGGTGGTGGTGGTGTTGGTGGTGGTGTTTGGTGTTGGTGTTGGTGTTGTTGTCGTTGTCGTTGTCGTGGTTGTTGTCGTTGTCGTTGTCGCTGCTGCTGGTATTTGTGTCGTTGCTGTTGTTGTTGTTGCTGTTGCTGTTGCTGTTGCTGTTGCTGTTACTGTTGTTGTTGTTGTTGTTGTTGTTGTTGTTGTTGTTGTTGTTGTTGTTGTTGTTGTTGTTGTTGTTGTTGTTGTTGTTGTTGTTGTTGTTGTTGTTGCAGTGCCATTTCTGCGTTTAGCGATCGCCCAGCTACCCTATGATACGAAGCGGCATTCAGATTCCCGACCTTCAGCCAGCCAAAGTCCGTTCGAGCTCATGCCACCCGGGAACTGTTGCTGCTGCCGCTATCACCATTCTTGTGTGTGCTGATTGTGGTTCTGATTTCTGAGCATTACTTTGACAATCATTGTTGTGTTACTACGGCTCTTCGTCTTATTGCGGCAGAAATTGCCTTTATCATTCTTCTTGTTTGTGTCACCGAAGGCTATGTGATGATTTTTTCCTGCAGGTGTCCACTGGTAACTTGATACACTGCCCCCCATCTCGTTGCTTTTCCCCGCTGTTGTTGCAGTCTTCCTGACGCCTAGGAGTCGAGAGCCATTAGGATAATGTCAGAGTTAGGGTCCGCTTAGGGTCTAGGGGTATAATTGCCTCGTTCTCGAATCACCGAAAGCAGTCGAACCTGCAGCCTTCAAAAAGCCCAAGTCTTGTCATTTGTGATGTAGTAACGTGTAATGACACATGTACCATCAATTCCGTTGTGTAGGCCACGTAACGAAATCCAGGGTTGACGCTAGAATCCATGTAGTCAGAACGCTGCACCCTACACCCTAGTGGGAGCAGTATCTTAAGGTTCGAAGCACAACCCTGCACAACCCTCAACCCTAGTAGCCCAAAGCCCTTACACCCTAAGACCGTAGTGTGTGAAGAGCGCGAAAGCACCACGACGCAGGAGAGAGCTTTCCGGCCATCGCGTTTGTGCTGCTTGCCATACTGGAAGCGGTGAGTTAGGTTAAGGTGTACGAATACCTTCTTCAGGGGTTCAGGAAAACACAACATCGTCCTGCACGTCGATAATGTGTTGCTGAGGTCTCGAGATAAGTCTCCGATGCTCTAAGCACAACTAACATCATCCTGTTGCTATATGTTTCAGGTTCTCGAGATGCGTCTTCGAGGTACCTAGCATAAAATCATCATGAACTGGTATCGTACGTCTACATATCGGGCTAAAACTCTGAGAACCGCCGAAACCAAGACACCCTGGTTCGTTTCGTAAAGCCTGGGTTTTCGTGCCTGCCCGCTTTAAACGAGGTTCTGGTTGATGTGGGTGGGGTTTAGAGTTCTGGATTCAGGACTTCCGTCTTGCATTGCGTATTCAGGGTCGTTAGGGTTGCGCACTAGGGGCTCAAGGCTGGGGAGTAGCCACCTTAAACCCTAAACTCTAAGCCTTAAATCCCGAAACCCGAAAATCCCAAACCGCAGGGGGGGGGGGGGGTTTGGGGATAAACTGCAGGAGTCTTTTGGCTCCGACCCTCTCCGACCCTAACGGCTTAAGGTCAGGGTTTAGGGTGGGTACTGCCCCCACTCAGTAACAGTTGAATAGTCTTTATAGTATAGATATATTAGGCCCTTAATATAGTAGCCCTATTATAGACTGGTACTGTATGGGGACACTACCCAAGGTTGAGGGTTTAGGGGTGTAGGGTTTTTGTATCGGCTAAGGGTTTAGGTGGCTTGGGGTTCTTGGTATTGGGGTTTCCCCATGATAAACCGTATATGCTGACAGTCTGATACGAATCGCCAGCACCTTCGGAATGTGGATTTGTAGGATTGAAGGATGTTGAAGGTATCCTAAACTCTGAACCAACGAGCGGACTAGCAAGTGTTAACAGCCGAGCACCCTAAACTGTGTGTCCCACGGTTTAGGGTTGACGGTTTGGGGTTTAGGCTGTGGGGTTGGTAGATCTCCACTCCAATCTCGAACTCTGCGGGTTTAAGATTCGATGGTCCGTTCCCTGACCGTGCTTTGTTTATGCTGTGTCCTGTCGTAAGGGTAGAAATCATATGGGACGTTGCATGGCTGTCGCCAAGCCATGAACATGTTCCCGCTGCATCCTGTGCCTCAGAGCTAATCCGGTTTGATGCGACAGGCACCCGAAACTCAATATCCCAAACCTGTATGGGCCCCAGACCTTAAGACTCTAGCAAGACCCTAACGCTTGAGACCCCAACCCCCGATATACACCCCAAGACTAAGTCCCCATACCCGAAACTTCGAAGCCCAAAGACCTTCAACTTTAATCCCCAAACCCAGGCTCGTGCTGCCGCCACGCAGTGTGCTTGACGTTTGCAAGCTTCTGGGGGCCGGCGCACGGGACTGGCACGGTGGGTGAAGGTCGTGTTTTCGGTTCTGGAGCCAAAAGCCCAGTCCAAGTGAGGGTTTCGGCGTTTTAGGTAGGGTTCAGGGCTTCTGGTTCAGGACGCCGGTATGGTTGGGAACTGCGAACTCGTTGAGGCCTTGTACTCAGGGCTTTACGCTTCAGGGTTCAAGTTCCTGAGTGCAGATTTCTGTACTGCAGTTCTCTGGCATAAGGTTGGGAGCGTCGGATTCTTGGGTTCCTCTACCACTCTACCTGCCATGAAACTGACTGTCAGAGCCGGTCGAACTAAGCCCCAATGAACTCACGATCCTGGAGCAGACCTGAAGCTTAAGGTTTAGGAGTTTAGGGTTTGGGAGGTTTTTGGGGTTTTGGACCTAAAAGGGCGACCCTATTTCCGTGGACCTTCAACCGCAGGATGTCACATCCATCAGCCTCCACTCTGACATCGTGGTGCTGCGCCCTCCGCCAGCCAAGCAACCGAGCCTCCAGGCAGAGTTTCGTGGCTTCAGACTTCCGGGGGGCGTTTCGGGCTAGTACAAAGGTAACCCTAAACAAGGGTAACCCTAAACCCTGGCCATAAAACAGTAAGTCCACAACTCCAAGCCCTGAGCAATGAGGGTGGGTGTAGGAGTCTCGAACTACAAGTGCTGCTAAAAAAGGAGGGAGTCAGGGTTTGGTGCCACTTGGGTGGTTGTCAAAATTAGGGTCCCATTTTGGGTCCCTATTTTAGTACGGCACATATTATTTAGGGTACCCAGAAAGGGACCATAATTTTGACAACCACCCACTTGGCTATCGCTGTTCACTCCCGTTGCTTCCAACCCTGCCTTCTTGGTCTCCGATCTTCCAAGTGGTGGAGTCGCTACTTGGAGGTTCATGGGTAGTTATGAGTGGGGTTCCTTTAAAGGAATCTACAAGGTGATAGGGTTTAGAGTTTAGGATTTAGGTTTAGGGTAGTGATAAGTATAACCCCACTTATGACTACCCCTGAGCCTCCAAGTAAGCTTTGGATGCCAAATCTCATGCTGCAGCGAAGCTGCGGTAACGAAATCCTGAAGGACAGTATTCAGTGGAAGTGGCTCGTGGCTCATCCTCTGCACAAACCTCTTCCCTACCCACATCAACCCACCCTAAAACCTCCAAACCCCGCAACTCTAAAAACGCAAAACCCCGACATACAAAAACGTTATATAATCGATAAGACAACCCTAGGGCCCAGACACCCCCCCCCCCCCTCATTATCAAAAGAAACATCAGCCCCAAACCTTGCCTCGACCCTCCTGACCTTTCGGGTTAGGGGGGCTGAGAGTCGAAATGGTTTTCAAAAAAGGGGCCTTAATAATTACCAATACTCTGTTGGGGGGCTCCTTCTTATAATTCTCGTTAAAAGGGACCGCATACACCCTATTCTAAGTAATAAGGCCCTATATTGGGGTTTAGGGCTAGGGATTTAAGGGGTTTGGTGCTTGCCCAGAGCTACCACAAACTGATTTTTTGTAGGTTCTATTTTATTGTAAACCCTGGTTAATGTAGACTTCTGCACAAAAGGAGGCCTAAACCCTAAACTCTGAACACAAAAGCACCAAACCCTGGGGCCAAAGCGATGCAAACGAACTACTGGGCCCCCCGCTGCGTGTTACTTAGCTTGTGCCCGTGGTAGCCTCGTAGTAGACTAGGTAACCTGTATCCGTTTTGGGGGTACTATCATCCCTCTGCAATCCCAATATACTCCCAAAAGTTAACAAGTAATTAGTTCCCCAGCGTACTCGACAAGTAGGATAGGCAGAGTACAAGCCTTTACAGCAGGCATGCCAGACAGCCCTCACATTGCCTATTTTCTTGGTCTCCATACTTTGCCGGATGCTCACTCTTCAAGTTTAGAAGGCCCATACACTCAAAACCCTGAACTCTACACTCACCCTTCAATATTCAATTCCACCCGAGGGCTTCTTCGTGGAGGCCCTTGACCCTAACTCGGAGCCTCTAAATCAACGGTTGAAACCATAGGCCCCTAGTATGGGACCTTCACCTTGGGATCCTTATATACCTACTATATACCCTATATAGACTCTTAAGGGTCCCTAGAACCCCCTCAAAAAGGCCTAAGAGTCCATATCAAGGCCCAGACTTCCAACCTTGGACTAAAGCTGAGGCTTTGTGTACGGCTTCCCACTCGCTGGGGGACCCTTCAAGTGCTCGCAAGGCTCGAAGGGGGTATCGATACATAAGCCAATAATTCAATAAGTAAACAATGCATAGCAAGTAAGGAATAACTGTACACATTGATATGTGTGTCTGTATAAATATACATATACATACACATGTTGTATAGATAGGCTAGACATAATGCTTGGTTTTAGCTTTGGGCGGTGGAGTGCGGTTTGGGTAGCGGCTTAGTGTTGGAGCTTCGGGCTCCGCCGTTTGTGTTTGGGGGGTTTAGGAACTGTCGTTTCATGTTCGCCAGGACACCCCCAAAGTGCCCTTAAATAATAGTTTCTTGATGTCCGCGTGAAGATGTAGATAGGGGCTAGCTACAACAAAGGTAGTTGGGACTTCAGGCTTGAAGGGTGAGAAGGTTTTGGCATCATTGTTTGAGTTGGGACGTACTGTTGCGCATAAGGTTTATTGTGGACCATACTACTTGTTCAGACCGCTAGGGAATTAGGACTTTACGGCTCCAGGTTGAGGGAGGTTTCATGTTCGGGGTCAGGCTTCAAGCTTTGTTACAAGAAAACCGTCAAGACCTGCTTAGAGGTTCAGGGGTAGTTCTAAGTGGGGCTATAAGTCCCCTAATTAGGGTTATAAGTCTAGTTACCCTACTGAGAACCCCACTTATAACTGCCCATGAACCTCCAAGTGCCCCTTCCTAAAACGCAAAACCGAAACAACCGTCACATTGCCTACAGCCGAATGCCTCGAAGATGGGGTCCGAGACAAGAGCAACTGCCTGGATCCCCCCCGGGCTCCGTCTACCTCATATCAGGGTTTTTATCGACATCCTACCATTTAGGCCCTGGTAAGGGGGGTTTACTATTCAGAAATATTCAGAATTCCTTCCTCAATTTCTTTGGGGTTTCCTGTTTAAAGCTTCAGTTTTGCTCTAAGAGGAAGAAAGATATGCCCCAACTCCTAGAACCCCATGGTGAACCCCAGAAAGTTGGAACATGGCTTTAGGAGGATTAGTGCTAGGGTCCCCTTATACTGTAACTTAGGGCATGGGGATAATGATGTTCCAACTTTCTGGGTTCTACTGTAAACCCTGAACTTCCCCCAATTGGGGGCGAACTTTGAGCACTTTGAGGTCTTTATTTTGTAAAGACTAAAGTTTTGAGACCCTTAGTTCCCCAAAACCTAACCTTCATTTTTTTGTGGTACTTATAGTTTGGTAGGAATCGAAAACTTTTGCCCTTTATTTCTGTGGTTTTTTGGGGGAGTAAGGACCATTGTCGATGAACCCGAGCTTTCAATGGAATCTTCAAGCCCAGGCTCCAGGGAAAAACCATACTTGCAGGTCCAGGGGTAGTTATAAGCAAGGTTATAAGTCCCCTAATCAGGGTTATAAGTATAGTTACTGTTGCCCTAGTTATAGCCCTACTTATAACTACCCCATGAACCTCCTTCGTGTTAGAATACCACTGAACGCCACCTTGTTGCTAAATTTGCTTTCTAAACGCTAAACTCCCAAACCTCGCGGCCTTGCCACTCCTTAGCAGTAAAATGAGGTCAGGGCGGAAAGCTGACGCATTTCGCCCATCCGTCGACGTACTATGCCTTGGACTTCGACTGTCCAGTCCTGCTCTTACTGGGTTCTCCTTCGGAACTACTGTTACTACTGTGCATCCCGTGTCGCGATGTTGGGTCCGGGACACTTTCTGGCTTAGGGTACCTAGAAAGCATTAACACGCACGTAAGCCACATCAAGGTATGCATCGAAAGGGAAATTGGCAGATGGATCGAGCTATGAATTTTCTTTTTATCTGTCGATCTTTCGTTCGGCCTGCGGCTTGATCTCGATGCAAGATTTGCAAATGCAGTCATGCAGACTCTGTCTGCGCGCCTCATGGAAGACGAGATTGAAACGTGGACCCAAAGCATCAACACCCAGAGTGTCAGCCATTTCGTTTAATTTGGGAACTACCAACTGCAACCTTCCAAATGTAGTTCAGCCGTGAGATCATTTTCTCGTGAGCCACGCCAAATCCGCATCCATCTATGTCTCCGTCTATGTCCATCTATGTTTATGTCATGCCTTTATCTTGTTCATGTCTATATTCTGTCTGTGCCTATGATGTATATCACACGAAGCAAGCATATAGATCCGTACAGGTACACACGCTAGTGCATGATATGTTTGCACAAGCGCATGTGGGTGCGTGCATTCCTGTACGTATATAGGTATGTATGTAGGTATGTGTATAGGTATACACATATACTTGTATGTAGGTATGTATGTGTGTGTATGCAAGTGTGCATGTGCATAAGTCTATATGTATGCATACACAATAGATAGATATATGTTAAATCGCGTGCACTCTTGCATGCTTGTATGCATCCTCGAGCAAGAGTCGAAAGACCGGGTGCCAGTGTCGCAGAGTACACGGTCCTCAGGCTGACGCACCCGGGATTCGAAGTAGTTAGAGCCATGAAGACTTAGAGTCCAATCATTAGACGAAGCAGTTGATGAGAAGAAGGATGATAGTTAACCAGGAAGAAGTAGAGTTTGGCTGGGACGCCACCAGACGCGACTTTCAAACCATTATGCCACGAATCTAGCCCACAGCTTCCTTTCGAGCCTGCATTGCAACGGGCACAAGCCCGAAGCCCTCCAAAACCCTAAGCCCCCAAAATCCCCTAAACCCTAAACCCCTAAACCCTAAATCCTAAACCCTAAACCCACCAGAATCCTAATCTCCCTGAAACCTCGAAGCTGCAATCCCGAAACTCTAAGCCCCTAAACCCTATTTGGGAGTTTCTTTTGGGGTCCTTAGAATAAGGTTCCGATTATTTGGGTACTAGATTAGGTCCCCTATTTTCGGAAACTACCATATAAATCTCTGGCTCTAATCCTCGATCGCGACCTAAGGTGGGAACTCCAGTCCTGGCCATTGCAGAGGGCACCATCTCTGAGATCCGCGATTCAGAAACCGCGTCAGGTCCGCCCAGGGTTTGAAGCATAAGGTTTAGGGTGTAAGGTTGAGGGTTTAGGGCTTAAGGTTAGGGGTTTGGGGTGTAGGGCCGCTATGGAGACCGAGGCTCAGACTTCAGAATGCAGTAGGTTTTGGGGGGTTTAGCTATGGTTAGGATCCTATAATCAGCAAAGTGCAGGGTCTAGGTGTTTTATACAGGAAGCCAAGTCCCCAAATTATTGAAGCATGGGTTGCTCTGTGTGTGTGTGTGTGTGCTGGAGGAGAGGGTTTTTCCGGTGCATCCTGGCATTTGGTTCCATGACTTATGATTTAGAGGGACCCCCCTGAGGGGGGATTGCAAATGGCGTTTGCTAGCAAAGGTTTCTAAGGATAGTTGGTTTGGATTCAACCTTTGAACTTTGTTTACCCCGGCGTAAACTGACATGGCCTCACCAGCACTGAGGGCCCTAATATAATCCTATATAATCCTTATGGTCACTATTACCGGGTGGGGGCCCCTTCCAAGGTATGCTGCTTCATCGGTAGCTCATGGGTTTCTCGGCTCAGAGCACCGGAGTGCATTCCCATTTTTTGAAATGGCCGCCTCCATCGTGCTTTTGCCGAGAAAGCCACTTGGGCCACGACGCTCGGATTCTCTTGAACACGCACTTCATGTTGTGTTTAGCTTTTCTCCTTGAGAAAATGGAATGCTGTGAACCCAGTGAAAGAGAGAGTCAGGCTGGAAGCGTTTTTGTAGGTTCCTTGTTGGGATACGACCTACTACACACGAGTTTTCTACTCAGCCCAGGACAGCGCCCACCGGCACCTCGAAATTTAGGTCCTACGGCAAAGCCGTCAAGAACAGCGGATGAGTACGTGAGCTCTTCTGAGGGGCCGAAGGAGAAGGGTTAGGATTTAGGGTGCCAGGAGTAGGCTAATCCAAGCTTGAACGCTAAATCCTGCCCTTTCAGCCTAGAGGCTGAGCATGTTTGCAAAATTAGGTCGTTGGAACGGCCTCGCTGCACGGATCTAGTGCTGCTGAGCTTAGTAGTGCTCTTTCTCGAGATCCGCGCTCGGGAACCCAACTACAAGATGTTGATATCGATTGTGGGCTTATGCCAAAAGAGCACAGAGAGATCCCAAAGCGGCTTGTCTGACGTGATGCTCGGGTTGCTTGCGATGCTTCCTCCCCGAATAGTCCACAAAGTCTGCTTGAACACTTTGGGAGTAAGTGACGTGGCAGGTTGCCATATCATATTACCACCAAACCGAGAGTTTCAGATCAGAAAAGAGCTTCATTCAGTTTGTTACTTCTCGTAACACTATCCGAGACATCGGCCTTTATCGCATGTGCCGGAGTTGGACTTACAACAGGGTTTTGGAAGTCGATTCGGGACTTCGGGTTTAGGGTTTATACGGTTAAGGGCGGTTTTGATGGGTCCGGTACAAGCTTCTTGAGAATTCTTGGCATCGCTCAGACTTCACGTGCATCGCTCACAGAATTTCGCACTTTGTAGGTACAATGCCGTGCTGGATTGAAATACCGATTCTTGCGACATTTTCAACCGTAAACCCTATAAGATATGGAAACTGTGGAGACGGTTCTGCGATGATTGCCGGCTGCAACCTAGCCAAGTGTTCTCCCGACGCATTTTCCGGATGCGTCGTCTCGTGCGGTTTTTCTCATGTCTGTGGGCCAACATCGGCCTGTCAGCCGTTTCACATCGTTTCACCATAGCTTCATCGCTGGCTATATGAGAGCGGTTCCATTCGGGCAAAACTCCGAATTGCGCTGAGGTATGTTTGTTTTTCTCCGAAGGCTCTTGGCTGTTCTCTGTTTGGCTTCTTTATGAACATTGTGGGTGCTTCTATTGTTATCACATCTAGATGGAAAGTTGCTGAACTTCTAGGAAGGCTTCACGAGCCGCCAAGAGCACGGCAACACGCCGGCGCAATACATGCAACCAATCCCAGACCGCGAGAAGTCGAGGACCCAAACATGGGAGTAAGCTTGAGGGATGTAGGGTTTAGGGTTATAAGCTAGGCTTAGCAACAATTCATCGAAACCCAAATTAGGGTTCTTGCTGTCCTTTCTACGTCCCGTGATCCTCGCAATCGTGCCTGCATCTTTGGCGAGACCGCGGTCAGTAAGGCCCTAGGTCGGACCAACGGTGCCAGCAGTGGAAAATGGCCGATGAGCCCTGACTCCCAGAACCCTGACACTCCGAACCACCTCAACCCTAAGCTCTTAACGCTAATTATTCCTGAACTCTTAACCCTGACATCCTAAACCCTAAACCCTAAACCCTAACCCTGACATCCTAAACCACGCAAGTGCCACGAGCCCTTACCATGGAGGGAGGTTTCTATTGTGGGTTATTATAGGAGTTCCATATCAGGGGAGGGGCTAAGGCTTCCATGTGTCGCTCCATGATACAAATTGGGGGTTGTGGGGTATGGAGAAGATATAAGTATAAGTGGGCTGAGCTGGATGGTGTTGGGGTGTAGAGTTCGAGGTTTGAGGTTTATAAGCACAAACCCTAAACCCACAAGGGACCCCAAAGACGCCTTAAAAGAACCCTGGTTTCGTCGGTCAAGATCCAGTCAGTCGAGGAGATCCTAAACCCTAAACCCTAAACCCTATAACCCTAAACCCTAAACCCTAAACCTGAGAGTACCCGAGCCCTTCTCTATTGCGACCGTTTAGAGCCCCAGTCATCGACAAGCATGGGGCATGGAGCAAACCCTGTGGCGAGATGTGGTCTAGGGTTGTTAACAGGGCTCGGGGGTTAGGGTTATAGGGTCTTGGGTTCATTGTTTAACTAGAGTTTTATAGGGTTCGAATTAAAGTTTGGGGTTTACGGTTGAGGTTATAGGGTCTCGAGTATTGCGTTCATCGTTTGAAGTTCACGTTTTGGGGTTCAGGTTTTGGGAGTCTTTCAGGTTACAGCCCCGATGGCACCGGTTGAGAGTCGGAAACCTGCAGTTCTGTAAGGAAGAGTTACTGGATCATTCACATCCGCCTTGGCGACCGGCATCGACGGGGGAAGCCCGCAATGCGGAATCCTAAACTCAAACATGAACGGCCTGAACCTCGTAACTCTAAGCCGCTACTCCCCCAAAAATCCTAAACCTTTGCTGAACCTTAGAAGCCCCTAAACCCCCGAACCCCTCCTAAACCCCAACCCCCTAAACTGTAGACACCGCTAAGCTCCGCAGATTCTTCAGCCTGTCGTCCGGATGAGCCCGGGTCGCTCCGATGAATTTAGGGTGTAATGTAGGCGCCTTAAGAATTGGAATGGGGTTGTGGGGGGTCATTATTATAAGTATTACTATAATCTACCCCCCAAAGCCTTTTCGAATTATTAAGGCCTATACAGCAGGTTGTTTGAATAAGTAGAAATAGTGTCCCATCATGGCCCGCATATATGAACAGTATCATATACCCCCGCAAAACCCTATCCTTACTGTCAAGCTTTCTGAATTGGAATTTCGGGCTGAAGGCTTATTTGTGTGTTTGCTTGTTTGCGGTTTCGGGATCCTGATGGTAGCAAACCGCATGAAACTGGATGCAGCCGACAGCACCCTAGCTTAAAGTAGGCGTCGCAAAGATTGCTGATAACAATGTCTTCGTACAGTCCCGCCAACATATATATATATATATATACATATATATATATATATATGATCACGCTTAATATAATATACCCCCGGTAACTATTGGGGTTCCTGATCTTGGGAGACCTCGCAGCTCGCTACTGGTGCTATCTGATGCAGGTGTTGACGTGCGAAATTTCTTCAGCTGGAATCAGATCACAATTGCACAGGCGGGAACCTTTTGCGCTCGTGATTCAGCAACCTAATATAGGGGCCCAAGCAAAACAGCCTATACTAGAAAGGGGTTCCTTATTATAACTACATAGTTTAATGGGCCCCAAAGCCCTATTCTAACTGTTTAATAAGGCCCCATAGATTACCCGAAACCCTGCTTCCGCGAACCTCTTCCGTCCATGTGGTCATGGGAACACTCGCACAAACGGTTGCTGCAGATGTTGGGCCACAAAGTCAGAACAGTATTCTCGGCTAAAGCAAGTGCCAAATCATGGTCAACATATGTCCAAAGCGATATGCTACATGTTCGACTGGGCTACAGCGCCTGCTGCTGTTAGTTTATACCTTTCAGTCTGTTGCAGCTGCTGCTGTGGTACCATCCGATTAGCTTCATCAAGGGATGAGCCCCAAGCCCTGAACCCCAGACCTTGCTCCGTTGAAACCCTGAAGCCTCAGACCTTAACGCCCGAAAACGCTAAGAAACCCGAAGAATCCACAAAGCCGTTGCGTAAATCCTTGACCCAGCGCTGCTTCGGAGCCACAGTCATGTTCTGGGCCTAGGGTTTCAGGTCATGGTTTGGCTAGGCGTAGGGTTCAGGGTTCAGGGATAGCCGAACCGAGCCTCTTCGCAGAGCCCTCCGGCTCCCCTGCAGGTTCGGTGTTCTTAGCAAGTTGTCCAAAAGTTTTCGGTGGGTTATGGTGGGTTCTTTTGGTTGGTGTTCTTGTGTGGTTCTTATTATGGTAGTGTGCTTGTAAATTGCTCTCACGGACTAGGCGTGCGGGGTTCATAAGAGCTTTGAAGATGAGAAGAGGGTGGTTTTTGGTCTATGTAAATAACCCATCTGGTTCGTGTGAGGGCCTTAAGAGACAGGGCTTGGGAGGGTGTTTCTGAGTTTTGTACTATTGTAGTACCATTCTCGGTTCGTATCAGGGCTCAAGACATTGGGCCTGGAGGGTTTATGCTTAGCGTTGCCCTCAGGAACAGTATTTCTAATGTTCAGGTTTATGCAACATCAGGTTCCATGTGACCAACCCCCTCCTGGTCCTAGAAATGCCTTTTTTTTCGGCTTTTGGGTTTACCTATTGTCTCAATTGTAGTTCCTTCTTTTTTGGTTTAACCAATTATGTACTAAGGATCCTATAAGGTAACCCAAAAAGGCAACTACAATAGAGCTGGAGGATGCGAGTTTAGGGGTGCGCTCGCCGCTGTGAGGTGGACGGCACCTTCGCAGAGTACGTTCACATCAAGGCGGATTGAGCACGAACTGTCGGAGCCCTGAACGAAAGGCTCCATGTAGCCATATAGTAGGTACTTAGGCCTTCAAGTACCCATATAGGGACCCCTTTAAGGCCTAAGTCATGCATCCTATGCTCCCGTCAAGCTCCCTTAAAGCTCCCTTAACCCCCGAAAAGCCTCCCAGAACTGCAAATGTATGCCCAAGTTATTCCGAAGCGCTGGAAACTGAAAGTTTAATCTGAGGGTTCTCCTGAACCGTGGCTTGCTTTGCTGTAGAAACGGCCAAAAGCGCTACAATGTGACCTTGAGGTATATGATAGCCTCAGTATATAGGCTTTTATACAGGCTTTACAAGCAGACCTAATTCCTACTGCATCCGACGCAAAACTTGGACAGTTTACCCAAACCTCTTACCGTCTCCACCAGAGTGCGGCATTCTTGCAGCAAGGCTTTAGTGTAGGAAAGATGTTTATCTTCTAGGGTTTCGCGCTGAGGCCGTTCTTCCCGAGCTCTAAGAGACTCTAAATCCCAAGCCCTAAACCATGAACCCTGCAGAAGTACGTGCCCAAGTATAGAACCCTACTATAGATCCCTTTAAGGAACCCTTTAAAGGAACCCTAATTATAAAAGCCCCGAATGAGGCCTCCAACAGCCCAGGCTCTTGGAGCGCACATTTTGGATGCTTTGGGGATGTCTAACTTTTGAGGTTTGCGGGGGGTGTTTTCGGATAGGATCGCCAGCCCTCGAAAGTCAGAAGCCCTTACCCAAACTCCGAAACACCTGAACGGAACTTTTGGGTTTCTGCCGCAGAGAGCAGCAGTGGGGATGCACATTCAAGGGAGTATGGGAAAGGTTCAAGACAAATGTCTGCTGCGTACATCCTTAAACCCCGACCCTTACAGCCCAAACATGCCCAAACCCTGTACACCAAAACTGGCCCAAACCCCAAGCGCCAAGCCTTAGCCCCATCTAAGACCCATAGCAACCCTTCTACCAACCCTTATGCTCTAAGGCATGATAATGACCAAGAAGGGGATTTCGGGCGTGTACCTCAGCCCGAAGCCCTCATATCTTACCTTTTTGAAAGGCGGCGGCTCCGTCCCTGAAGCCTGGAGACAGAGTTTGCCAAGGGCAGGTAGCGGTTGAGGTTTACATACTTGGAGGTTCAGGGGTAGTTAGAAGTGGGGTTATGAGTCCGCGAATTAGGGTTATAAGTATTGTATAGTTACCCTCCTTATAACCCCACTTATAACTAACCATGAACCTCCAAGTAGGAATGTTCAGGGTTTAGGGATGTTTGGGGTTCATTGTTTAGAGAGTTTGCCAAGGGCAGGTGGCGGACGGCTTCCGACTTTGTTGCAGTCAGGGTGTTTGAGGTTAAAGGTGGTGCTCACAGGGCTTTTTAGGGTCGTTGAGAAACCGTGCGAATATGGTCGCATGGCGATTTCTTGGGCAGGCTTCTGTGTAGAAGCTTCAGTGCAAGAGGTTTCTTGTCGCTTTTGTCCCCCGGATTTCACTTCGCTAAACCCTAAACCCTCAACCATCCTCAACCCTAAACCCTAAACCCTCAACCATCCTCAACCATGAGCCCTGATCAGTTGCCTTTCAACTCCAGAAGGCTCCCATCGCCAAGCAGGTTCGAAGGCTGTGTGCTGGAGGTATAGAAAAAACCCACCATACAGGGATGATAAGGGGGAAACCCCAGCACTTATTCCTCAAAATGGCCGGCGGACCTACAAGGATTGTCCCTTGTACTCCTAGTGAATCTGTCTTGAGCTTAAGCTGAGACTTCTATGTCAATAGAGTTGACGGATATTGTTGCAGCTCGTCTACTTACCGGAGCTTGAACGCCTTACCAAGGTCTTCTACTGCTACCGCCAAACACCAAATCCGAACCATCAAACCCCCATGCTCAACACCTATTGGAGGTTCGTGGGTAGTTGTAAGTTGGGCTATAGGTAGGGTAACTATACGTATAACTCATAGTAGGGGACTTATAACCCTACTTATAACTACCCATGAACCTCCAAGTAAGCCGTAAAGCTTCGCACGTAAGCAGGTCATCGCCCAAAGTGGCGATGTCGGCTTCTGCCCAACGCCGCACTTGCATGTAGACACTTCGCCACATTTACGATTTTCAGGGTTTAGGGTTTAGGGTTTAGGGTTTGGGGCGTTCAGAACTAATTAACGTAGGAACCTGATCAAGAAACCCTGGCCCTATATCCCCAATTTATGAGGATTCATATAAGGAGCCCCAATAAAGGCCCGATATTCAATATTGGAAGCAAGACTGGTTTCACGTCTGGTTTCGGTTTCGTGGCAGATTGTGGTCTTGAAGCGCAAAAGCGCCAAATTTTCTATGTCCTCAAGCCATCAGCCAAAGCCTTAAATAATTACTCATCACAAAATAATCTACTCCGGGATGCCCTACAGTCCGCAGAACAAGAAGACATCACTAAACAGCAAACAAATCTGCCTCCAATAGCCCCAAATCCCTACATCTTCCCGCAACCCCTCAGCCCTTAACAATCTACCCCCGAAGTTAGACCGCAACAGAGAGTCCTTAAGACCGAAAACCTGCCTTGAAACCCTCATAAAACCCTATCAAAGCCATTATAGATAGATCCTCGATGTTGAAGAGCCCCTAAACCTTAATCCCTGAACCCCAAACTATCCTACACCCTAATCCCTAAACCCTAAGCCCCTAAACCCTATAATCCCTATTCCTTGATCCCTACACCCTATATGCCCTAAGCCCTAATCCCTGAACCCTAAACTCTGACTCGAAGCCCGAAAAGCTCAGGAGGTCCACCTTCGTGGAGGCCGCGATGCGGACTCGGTGGTCTTCGGCTTCCGCGGAACACAGGCCTCCTGGGATTTGTGTTTAGCGTTTTAGGGGTGTGTTTAGGATTTCAGGGGTTAGTGTTTCGGCTTCAGGGGTGCAGGGTTTGAGGATTGGAGGTTTAGGGGCTTTGGTTTCAGGGTTGAGTATGTAGGGGCTTAGGGATTACAAGCGTTCAGGGTTTTGATGAGGTCCTCTATGTGTCATGAAGTTTTTTTTGCAGCTTGAAACGCGAACACAGAAGCAACAGGGTTCTGTTGGGAGTTATCCAGGGATTGCGGGTCCCAGGTTCAGGCCATCAAACATTGGCCACGTGAAGTGTGGGATTCTCAGCTGCCAGAGTTCAGGATGTGAGGTTTCGGGTGTTAGTCTAGGGATTTTAGGGTTTGGGAGTTTTGAGTTTTAGGGCTTTGGGCCTTTATGCTTTGAACTTTGTGCTTTTAGCTTGCGGCTCGCATCTGTTTGTTTTGAGGCTTCAGCCTTTGCATTAGGGCTTTACATGCCAGCCCCTCGTGTCACGTAGACCATGCCCTCGCACACTCTGAGCCCCGGGACCACCAAACTACCACAACAAAAGTGACAGCGAGTTTCGGCTCCTGTGGCCATAAAAATCCTCAACCGCCCGCATTGCGACCGGAAAGCCCAAGTGAACGCAAGGATGTTGCCATGTTAAGACCCTTACATGACGGTGACGATTCCTGGTTGTGTAGTGAAGCTGGGCTGTCCAAGAGTCGCCTCACAGCCCCTCCAGATCTGAGTTGTTAGACTTTAAACTGCAAGTTGTTATATGAGTAGTTGTCAAAATTGAGGTATTATTATAAGGACCCAAAAAGGGACCCTAATTTTGACAACCACCCATATGAATAGTATTTACGATAGAGCTTTAGATCCCGAACTCGGCCAGGGCCCGTTCCAATGCGAAGAGGGCACCTGGTACACTGCGGACGGCCCCGAGCCGGCTCAATCAGAAAATGGTGGCTGCTGGCTGTTACAGTTGTCTTTGCCTGGTTCCATGACTTCTCTTAGAGTGCCCTTGCAGGTTTGGACACTGCTGTTGTTTTTCGTAGTGTCATCGTATCATTGTGTAGTTCTGCCTATTAGCCATTATCATCTTGAGTCCTTGTGCTGAGTCCTGGCAGCTAAGTTTACTACGTCGAATATGTTGATAGCAGCTGCTGCTGACATTCAACACTCGAAGTTTCATCGACCTGAGTATATGTATATATATATATATATATACAGTTGGTGTGGGAGATCGTCTCTGCATGACAGAGAGCTGTTGAGGTTTCCGGCAATGGCCGAGCCACGTGAAATTCAGAAGACGCTAATCCGCCAATCCCTTCTCGAGCGCTTTTAGAGCCCATGAAAACGTCATGGAACAGCCTACAGCTTGGGTAGGCTTGAGGGTCTGAGTTTAGGGGTGTAGGTGTGAGGTCGCTGGTATGAGATTGGTAATGAGGCTCAGCCTGCATTTGGGTAATTCTCTAAACCAGGGTCCCTTTTAGGGCCCCAAAATACTACGGCACCCTATTAATTGGACCAAGACTTTGAGACCAGTGCGACCGCCTGTGCAGCTTTTGACTCAAGCGCCGTTCGAGCCGTTACATGAACGTATTGGACCGGAGTACCCGTTGCTATGATCGGTCCGGAAGAGACTGCACGATCGGGATTTTCCGGTTGGGCGTAGAGTTTAGGATTTTGCAGTTAGGGTAACGCGTACCGGCATCGCCGTAATCCTTCAACTTGTAGACGGAGGCATCGGAGGCTCCGACTTATAAGCCTTGGCCCATGACCTATGCGTTTAATCTGTTACACCTTACACCTGGGCTTAGCATTCAAAGGTGCCGCCTGGACTTCAGGAGTTTCATCTGGTTCTGTGCCGCTGCTCTAAACCGCAGAACACCGAAGATTTACACGAATCCGCCCTGCATGCTTTCAGGGCTTGCAACCAACTTGACGGCATTTCTGTGTGCAGGGTGGCGCTCTTAGTCGCTTCTGGTCCCTTCCTTTGCGACGCAATGTTCGATTTCGATGAGTTGGAGGTCAAGTTCGAGGAGAGAGACACGAAAACCAAGGCCTTTCGAGTCTTCCAGACTTGCTGGGTGGAGAGCTACAGTAAGCCCTAAAGCCCGAAACCTGAACGCTGGAACCCGAAACGACTAGGTCGCGGGGATCTAACCGTGCCCGTATGGGTGTCAAACCACTAAGATTCCTAATTCCTAATTCTTTCAAAGAGCCACAGGAAAACCAATAGTTGCATCTTAAAGCCGTAACTATAACCCCAACCCCGCAAAATCCCACCACCGATGGATTCTTGTGAGGCGACGGCAAGCGCTGCCGAGCCTGTCTCAAAGTGCCCCAGCTTTCTGAACTTTGTAGTTTTGGGGTTTATTATATGGTCTGAGTGTTTATATGCCTTTAAGGCTTAAGCTTTGGGGCTTTGGGGTTTGAGGGTTTCGTAAGGGTTTGGGAAGCCCTTGGGTCTCATTTGTTTGAGTTGTAGGGTGTGTAAGGCAGGCCCTTAAACCCCAAACACCCGAACCCTAAAACCTGCCCTCAAACCTTAGGTTGAAAGTGCCTATGCTTGACATCCTCCCCCTTGTAGCATACCTATGATTTTAAAAGCCTTGTACCGTAACAGTAACCCTTAAATTAGAGTAATTGTTGCAGCATCCCTTTTACAACTTGCAGCAGCGATGGTAGCCCCTTGCAAGCCCTTGTACAAACCCTCACAGATCCATACAACAAACTCGTATTCAACAGCTCCGTCAAGCCCTTCCACAAACCCTTTACACGCCCCTAGGCCCTTATTAGCACCCCGCCTTACTCCCTTTGAACAACAAGCTATTGATAAGCCTTTGTAGCCGCCTTGATGAGGGCCAAAAAAAGCCATTACTGCCCTGCGAACCTTGCAGCCTCAATCCTTGCTTAACCCTAAGCCCTAAACTCACACAAAACCCTAAACCCACTCCCAACCCTAAGCCCTAAACTCCCCCTCCTGAACAAAACCCAAACCCCAAAAACCCCAAACCCTGAAGCCTGAAACTCCAAGCCCTGAACGCTACCCTCTACATCCTGAACCCTCCCCCCATCCTCCTTGCGAGGTCTTCGGGCTATGTTGCCACGCCGAGCCCTGCCCCATCTATCGGATCGCGGAAGATTCGGGCAGCGGCCTCTGAGTTACGAAGGGTTTGCGAGGTTAGTTTACAGGTTTAGGGTTTAGTTCTACAAGGGTTTGAATCGGAATTTGTAGGTTCTAACAAGTCTCAAGAGTTGGAATACGCTTTGTGGTGTAGTATGACAAACGTAGCAAGAAACCCCAAGGAATAAATTCAGGGAATGATTCAGGCTCCTGTAGTAGGACGTGTAGGATTTTAGGCAAGGCTTCATAAACGGTTTCCCGGGGTTTGTAAAGGGTGTTTGTACGGCCTCATTCAGACATCTATAAGTCTATAAGGGTTTATGCCATCTCCTGTAGCCGACTTCCGCCATTTCTCAAACACCCCATATTCGGCGAATAGAGGCCCTTCAAGGTTACTATAGTCTCCTTAGGAATTATTTTTTGTTCATATAAAACCCAAGAGAATTATGCAAAACAACAAGAACCTGTTTGTATTATGGCTCTAAGGGGGGGTATAGTCATGTCTAGGCTGAGAGGATTTGGTGGGATCTCGGGCTGTCCCCGTTGACTTAGAGTTAATTCATGGCGAGTTTAGGGTTTAGGGTTTAGGGTTTAGGGTTTCATTCAAGTATCTTACCTTTGGTTAGTAGGGAATGGAGGAATGGGGTACAAGTATAACTACGATTACTACCATTCCACCATTCCCTACTAGCCAAAGGTAAGTTCAAGTATTTGCGGTTCGCTTCAGAATTCCGGGGAACTCCTACAGGTCCGAATAGAAGTCAAGACCAGGAAGAAACCAGTACTAGAGATGGTACTCACTGCAGCACTCCATGTCAAGGGCAGCATTGATAGCAAAGGTGCCAGAGTCCTTTTAATTCATTCAGTATGTCGGTGGTACGAGTCACACTTTCGCGCCTGTTTTCGGCACTTGCCCTAGACCATAAATTTTGGGCTTCTATGATAGAGCTGCAAGCGGCCCCCCGGGGAAGGTCCTGGCATTGCACGGCGGTGGCTCCAACACCAACATCATGCAGTACCAGGTGGAGTTTGTGAACGTGAGGGTTTGGGGGTTATGGAATGGTTTAGCCACTCAGCCAGGCTTCAAGTTTCGGGTTGGGATGTGGAGTTTAGCTGCTTTTTAGGTTCCCATCGCATTGCGGTAGAAGGGAGTCGACCTCTCCGCCCGGGGCCGTATCGGGGGTGGACTCTTGCGATTCTTGGTGGAGCTCAGGTGCGAAGTCAGAAAAAGCTGTACATAGGGGCTTTTTTGATTGGAACACGGCTTTGCGCAACTGGCATGCAAGTATCAGAAGGAACCCAAAGGAATAGTGTTGCGATTTATATTGTGCGAAACTGGCAGCACACATCCTCGACCCCGTTCTCATCATTTCGGCCTCCTAAACCCCAACTCCGAAACTCTAGTTCCCTACACCCTCAAACAACGAGGATACATTTCTGGCACCTCAAAGCTCAGGCCCCGAAATGCTTACATATGGTGATCACTCCAGCCACTGTAGGCAATATACCCCCTTACCCTAAGGTCCCTACACTACACCTTTATAGATATAGTATCACGGCTGGAACCCTTTGTAAAGGAACCCCTTGAAGGGACCCTATTCTAACAATTCAGGTCCCCACAGTATCAAGCAAGCAGACGCCTCGGACCCTAAATCCTAAGCCCTAACCCGAACCTCAGAACCTTGAGCCCTAAACCCACAACCCCTAGACCCTGCAGACCCTATGTTCCAAACCATCCTAAGCCATTATAAACCCAAAACCCCGAAATTAAACCATTGTACCCTGCCTTAACCCTTAAAGACCCAAACCCCGAAATCCTAAACCATCCTACCCTAAACAACCCGAAGCCCACAGATGCGGAGGTGATGCCACTTCGAAGAATCCTGGGGGATCAGGCTCCCCCGGCTTTTGCAAGGTTTAGGGTTCAGGGTTTAGGGTTAAGGGTTTTGCTGCCTCGGTGCTACGAAAAGGATCACAATAACGTCTACACCGACTAGGCTAGGGTTTGGGGGTTTAGGGTTTAGTGTTACTTGTCATGGCTTCATTCCCAAAGCCTAAACCCTACTCTCCCTAACACCCTAGACCCCATGCAGGGAGTAAGCGGGGACAGAAGGAGTCTCAGATGACGGTTCTGCCGCCGTTGCAGTGTCCAGGGTTCTGTATTTGGGCCTCTCATTTCTGGTACTCCCTTATGTTATCAGGTTGTGCAGTGTGTACTACCATGCGGCGAGCGACATGTTCCCCTGCGAAATTCAGCCGGACAGCACAGACCCTAAACACGAAACCCTGAACCCTTTGGTCCCGAGTGCACCTGGAGCTTGGCGCGATCTGCCGCATCCATGGCTTAGAAGACATGTTCGGTGGATCACGCGGCGTAAAGCACCACCTGTACTAGACCTCAAGCATGCCTACCTTCACCCCGGGGTCGGGGGTTGATAGTTATGAATGTTGTTCAGGTCCAGACAACCCACCCTAAACCATAGGCGCCGTAGCTTCAAAGCCCGGACATGTACCCCAGGCCGAATGGGATTTCCTGAACGGAGGAAGAGATTGGACGCTGGGAGCCTGGTCTGAAGTAGGGATCGGAAAATCGTATGCCAGAGTTCGACAAGGCCGACTTCATGATCATTATGGGTTATTGTTTTATAGTGCAGCCCCGATTCAAGTACCTATAAAACCTCATTTGCTTAGTCCTATGATCCTCCAAGTACTCTACTTTTCAGTGACACCCCGCGTTTCGCAGAAGGACTCCTCACAGGGATAGCTTAAGGGAGTCCAATCTTGAAGGCTGAGCTCTGCAACCCTAAACTCCTAAGCCCCTAAACCCCTAAACCCTAAACCCTAAACCCTAAACCCTAAACCCCTAAACCTAAACCCGTAAACCCTAATAACCCTAAACCCTAAACCGTGTAAGAGTCTTCGGGGCTTTTTGTGCAAGCGTCCTCGGCTTGCGATCATGAGGCTGTGTTCATGCTGCAGCTTTTGCGGCCCCGCATGCAACTAGCCCGCTCACACAACGACGACAACCGTCACAAATGAGTCAGGAATATGCTTTGTCATGGCAAGCCGGTAGCAGCAGGGTTTGGAATCAGAAGTTGCTCCTCTTAAGGTCTCTGCGACTGAACAAGCAGATGTGTGCACCAGCCATAAACGTAGACCCCTGAAACCTACATCCCTAAAGCCATAAAACACTGCGGGGTGGATACTACAACTTCACTCGGGTGTCAGTTTTGGTTGTTTTTTTCAGACGTGGGGTGGTGTTGGCTGGTCGTTTCCACTGTAGCCGAGTGCGGTGACTTCGGATGGCGCTGCTAGTGCGGGCGGAGAGCAAGAGCACAACAGCCCTGAACCCTCAAACGCTGAACTATGCAACCTGAACCCTCACGCGCAGCTGTACAGTTAGAGGCTCGAAGCTCTAATCCTTAAGCCTACAAACCTCACGTGTTGAGTCTCAGGTTCAATGACGGCCATGGCGTTCCAGATATCATGAAGGCCCGTGGCACCAAGAAAGCAGACGCATAGTCCGGCGCGTCAGGTTTGAGGGGTGCAGGCATTAAAGCATGGTGTATCGATGTTGCATATGCGGTCACGATGCTTATGCTAAGGCGATTTTCCGATGCAGTAGAGTTCCGACAAGCAAAAGCAGCGGGTCGTGGCAGTTCGGTAGGTTGTGGAACATCAACATGGAGGTTCTGCCATACCATGCGACAGCATACCAGAATTTATTACAATCGACCGTAACATGCCGCAGCATACCAGAAAATGTACAATACAATACCATACCATCGTCTACAAAGCCCAAACCATAAACCCTATAAGAGACTTCAATGGTGACCCGGGTTTTACGGTTTCGGGGGTCGCCTTTTGAGGCCCTTGCAGCTGGAATGCCTTTCTTTGGCTGGTACGGCGTCAGGACCTCAGTTGTCTTTGGGGTTTGGGGTTTAGGCTTTAGGGGTTTAGGTCAGAGTCTTAGGGTTTAGGGTCCAGGGTTTAGGGCCTACGCTTTTCAGAATTTCAGAAACTTAGACTGGTCCATGAGCAGCGAGCAGTGATTCGTTTGGGTAGTGACTTCCTTTCTGTGCCTAGCTGTGTTTGTCATGTAGACAGCAGACATCGCCCTGACAATCCATGCTCACGACCCAACCTTCGTGCATGCTCGGCTTGCGGCTAGAATGCTTGACCATTACGAAACCGCCCCCCTGCTAGACCCTCAGCTCTGAATCCTGAAGCCACAAACCCCAACTGCCCCACGTTCTGTCGACCATGGCTTCGTTCTTTTGCTTGCCAGACAGTAGTTTTATTGGCAACAGAGAGTTGAGGTCGAGAACGACGACAAGACGACTCGAACGTACGAGGCTAGCGGAGGGTATAGGGCCTGATCAGGAATAATGTTATTGTTGGGTGCCTGTTATGTACCCTAAGTATAGTATAGTACAGTATAACAGGGATTGATAAGGGCTCCTGCTACGTACTCTAAGTATAGTGTAATGTCTCGTAACCTAAGGCACCGACAAAATATATTTGAGGTAGCTTCCGGCTTGGCCCTGAAGCCCTGAAACCTTGAAACCCGGAACCCAGAACCTAATCCCCTGATCCCCTAAACCCAAAACTCTAATCACTCTAATCCCTAAACCCCTAAACCCTCATCCCTTAAAACCCTAAGCCTAAACCCGAAACTCTAGGCCCCAAAAGCGTGAAAGATCTGGCTTCAGCATTTGTGTGCTGCTCGACACCTCAAGACCTCAAGATGGAAGCCCTGAGCGCTGAGCCCTATGACCTTAGATCCCTAAACCCTAAACTCCTTAAACTCCCTAAACTCTAACTCAACCCTGAACGACCTACCTTTTTAGGGCTCCTTATTATGATTTCCTTATATAAAGATGTAGGTTCTTCCGGGTTAAGCCTTAAGCCCCGTGCGTTAAACCTTAAAGCGTAAGGAACCTCTTGAACCACGAAGCCCGAAAGGCTCAACCCCCAAAACCTTAAACTATGAAGCGCTCTCGCACCCTGCTTGCTTCGGGAGTGGCGCGTGTTTCGTGCAAGTCCAGGGGCTTCTCAAAGACGGACACCGTTTTTGGTAGGCCTGTTCCATTTTGTGGTGGGGCTCTTCCCAGACAGCTCCAAGCAAGTCAGATGCCTGTGTTCTTTGCAGGAGAAGTTGTTCGACCCGTCCGTTACCTTCACATACAAAGAGGCTTGGGGGTGGATGTGTGGTGCGGGACCCGAAACCCTATCCCCGAAACCCGACTTGACCTAGTGCTATCGGCCTTTCTATGGTTTCAGCAGACTGCACCTCCAAATTCCTGTCTTTAGCATAGGTTAGCCAAAAGACCCAAATTCGTCAAGTGCCTGAACGCTAATGGGGCGCCGGGTTTGGTGTAGCGGAGGACTGACTGCAACGGCAACTTCCGTCCATGTGGCTTTCTGGCAAAGGTGCATACTAAGCTGAACCTTAGAGCACGCACGCTAAACCCTGAATCCCATGCCCTCATTCCTAGAAGCCCATGCAACGCGGCCTAAAATTTCCGAAGCGTATCATAGGCCGAAATAGTTACCGATACCATTCCTGTTCTTACCCTGATACTTGACCCTCTAAATTTATGACTTTGTGTTCTCTGCGAGGGGCACGATTCTGTAGATATTTATTTTTACAATATATGTACACTTATTTTATGAATCACCGAATCTGCGGTTTATGATTTTTTTACGATTACATAGGATCACTGTTTATTTAGCAAACCTGGATATACAATTTTGTGTACAATTATTTTACAATTTATTTACACTCGTTTTTCGACAGCATCCGGATGACGATAGAATCTGTAACCGAGACTACACCACTGCACGAATAACAGTGCACCTGTTTCAAACCTGCGCGGGGCCTCTCATATTAGGGCATGAACACCATGCGATGTAATTGTAGTGGTTTTTTACGAACACAAGGGTGGGCAAAAAAAGGCAATTTGCAATGCCTGGTCTCGCCACCGTGTTTTTCTGCACGCAGCAATCCGGTTCGAGGGGTTGTCCAGCTTTGCGGGGCAACCAAAAAGCCAATTCAGACTAGGAGGGAGGGCAAGGGTTGGAGGGAGGGGGGTGTGCGAGGGGGGGAGGGGGCAGGGACGCAGGGGGTGCAGAGGGGGTGGTTTGAGTGGGGGGAGAGAGGGTAGGGGGCGTGAGCGGGGGTCCTCGGAATGAGGACGGGGAGGGGGCGGAATTTTGATTTTTATATAAAAACTAGGGAATTTATGATTTTTTATGATTTATTTATAAATTTGTTTATGATTTTTTATTGATTTTTTATGCTTTTTTTTATGCTCCCGAAAGCACCCCCATCCCCCCTTCCACCCCCCTTGCCCCTGGCCGCAGCCACCGTCCCAGCCCAGGCCCCCCCCCGGCTCCCGGCCCTAGAGATGAATTTTAGATCTCATGGACGCGTCATCGCCGTACCATGCGGGGTGTCTAAACTTGGTTTGCACACGAAAACGACTCGTTGTTTAAAACGCTCTAGCTTCAGTACATGGGGGAGGGGGGATGTTTTAAGAGTATATAATCATAGCTTGTGTGTAGTGTTGTCGTGTTTAAACATGTTTAAAAAGGAAGCCGTGTTTCCCAAACAGCCTGCAAAAGAGCTTCGTGCTGAGCCAATGCACAGATGATATGAACTGGATGCGGGCTCATGTGTCAGTCATAAGAACAAGACAATCATGTCAGAGAAGCTGCGCGAATGAGATAATCTGAAGTGTAAAAAACCATAAAATACCCATAAAACAAGAAATCCACGAAACATAAATAAATCATAAATTAATTGTAAAAATAGTTATTTGAGATCATGGCTCACCACGCAGAATCCAAAGTCATAACTCTAAATCCCCTGAAAAAACGCCCTTGAAAGACTTCGTAAAGTCGTAAAGGAACCCGTACAGTACCGCAACTCACTGTTCTATGAAGGCCCCTACGTTAAGACCCCGGAACCTTTCGTTGCAACTAAACCATAAACCCTAAACCCTATGAACCCAACCCTAAACCCTGAGCCCTCAACCCTAAACCCTAAACCTTATAAATCCTAAACCCTAAACCCCAAAACCTAAACCTAAACTGGAAGGTGGATCTTGGCGTGGACCGCGTTCTCCAGCGGATCAAGGCTCGGTCTTTCAAGGCTTCAGGGTTGAGGGTTGAGGATTTAGGGTTTAGGGTTGAGGGTTTAGGGTATAGAGAGGATACTTGTATCGCGTCTTAGGGGGTTCGGGGGGTTTTATCGCGTCTTAGGGGTTTAGGGGTTTTTAGGATCCCTGTATCGCGTCTTAGGGCTTTAGAGTTTAGGTTTCAGAAAGGCCCCGTGTAAGGGTTTGCCAACCGCGAGTCTCCGCGAGTGCGGAGTCTCGAATCTTGGGCTTCGCTATCCTGTTAAGGGTTTATGGTTTAGGGTATTCGCTGGCAGATTGTCTTTCATCAGTGGTACCAGAGAATGTTCTGGTCAAGTCACATGCGGACCTCCGTATGATAAAACTCACATGTGTGCACTCGTCAATGTGTACATTTGCGAACTCGCAGGCGTTGGGCACTTATCTGCATCTACACGTACACTGAAAGGGGCACGTCACTAAGTGTATTTTGTGTACGCATGTAGTCTTTACGTGTACATATATGTCTATTTACACATTTCTGTGTGTATATATATATATATATACACACACATGTGTGTGTGTGTGTGTGTGTGTGTGTGTGTGTTTGGCATCCTTTTGCCATGCGCATACAATAGTAAACCTTTAGAGAAATGCACAGGGCAATCTTGCTGGCAGTCGTTTTGATGACTAACCGTATCGGGATGTTGTATAGTGCTGCTATCATGGTTGTGATTATATGTTGTTGTCATTATCGTTCTTGCTATGCTCATTGCTGTTGATATTCTCAGTGATGCAATTATGCAATGTTGTGATTCTTCTTTTACTCACGATTGTTCTGAGCGTGATTTTGGTATTGCTAGTTACTCGTGTTATTGCTATTGCTATTGCCACACAGTGCCATTTACTGTCAATGATTGACCTGTCATAGTTTTTACTATTGCCATTGCTTTGTTAGTGTTCCTGTGCTTATGGCGATTAGTGATATGGTAGCCCTGTATAGGCCTCAAACCTGTTATTGAACTTAACTATTCTTGTTCAGATTTGTGATTAGGGCCAGTGTCAGTATTGTTACATTTGTTATTGTGTTCTTGTTCTTGTTTTTCCTCTTGTCACGTATTCGCGAATATCAACACGATTTCCGCGCGCAGCCAGCCTTCGAAAAACTGCTGGATGTCGAACCAGCCCAGCTAGGTTTGATTCAGGTTGCTTTGTGGTGGGCTTATCTCATGCAAGGAACACGGCCCCGTCGACGTGATACTCGGCCGAGTGCTCAGCAGAGTGACCTTCCACCAGGAACCCTCTGGTCAGAGGTTTGAGACTTTGTACTTCGGTAGAGACGTTTTTGTTCAAGCATGGTTGTGGGGTTTATGGGTTCATAAGGCTTGCAGCGTACGTTTAGGTTTGTTGTGATGTTCAGGAGTTTAGGCTGTTGAGGCTGCTAGTACTAGTGTCGTTTGGCGGTGTAGGGATCGGTAGGATCATGGGGTTTAGGGTTTCAGGTCTTGGTGCCCAGATCTTCAGGCGGCTTTGGAACTGGATTTAGGTTTTAGGGGTTATGGGCATAGGGCCCATCACCACGATGCATGGATCCACTGCCACATCTTCGATGAATTCCGCGAGAATTTATGCGGTCGAGTGCTTCGGGATAAAGGCCTCCTCTCCTTACAATAGTCTCCTTAGGAACTTTTGTTTTTGTTCATATAAAACCCAAGAGAATATTAAAGCACATATTATTATTATGGTTCTAAGGGGGGGTATAGCTTACTTGGGGTCGAAGCTTCAAAAGCCCAAAAGCCCAAAAATTGTACAATCCTGGACGCAAGACCCCAGACTCCCAACTCTCCAAGTTAACCCCGAGCCACAATTCCCAAGCGCTTAAACCAGAGCCACGCCTGCAACACTGGAAGCCCGAACCCTAAGCCCTAAACACGAAGCCCCAAACCCTAAACCCTAAACCCTAGGGCTAGATTCTCCTGACCCAAGGGGGTCTTTCGTCGACGGCTGCACCTTAGGCGGAAAAGGGAGCTCAAAAAACAATAACCCTAAACCCTAAGCCCCGAACCCTAAACCCTAAACCCGAAGCCCCAAACCAAACCCTAACCCCCAAACGATCTTTTGCACTGAGGCTTCTCCCAAGGGTGCATTGTGAGCCACCTCATCGCAGGGCTCCTCCGTGAGCGAGGTCGCGGGTCTTGGGGATAACTTCCTTATTATACATCTAATAATATCATGACCCCCCACACCCTTTTAGGGTCCAGAGTTTTGGGGATAGGGTTCTAGGGTTTGGGGGATCGGGTTTTGGGTCAATGTCATAGTACCCTTATAGATCCCTTGCCTTATAGCAACCCTTATATAGATCCCTTAAACAGAACCCAATTCAAAGATTTGGGAGTTTAGGTTCAGGTTTTCTCGATTCGGATTAAGGGTCGATCTACTGTGTTGGCCTGAGGGTCTGATTAGTAGTGAAGTCCACGTACAGCTAGCTCCTATTGAAGTATAATTTAGAAGGGGCCCCCCCCGCCCTGTAATAGTGGTATAATAGGAATAGAATAGGGCCCTAATATAATCCTTATAGTCACTATTACAGGGTGGGGGCAGCTTCTGAAGTATAATGTTGAACTTTGACTAGCACGCCCCCCAAACCACAGTAAGCGTACTGAGCGTTACCTTTCTTGCTTGCCTTGGGTGCCCTCCCAAGGTACTTGGGGAAGTAGTAGGAATTGGAATGGCAATAGCAATGGTCATCGTAATCAATGATTTCGGGAGCCCATTTTACACTTGGAAGACTTTCCAATATAGTGTTCCACCAAAGCAACATATCTCCATGGCAGGAGAAACTTTCCAGTCTTGCAGATTCCCAAACTAAGCACTCCTGAACATCACTAAAATGATGCCGCCCCAAACATTAGTTATTCAGACTGGGTGGTGGAGCCACCTGACTTGTCCTGATAGGAGAGTTACGAGCAACACTCTGGAACAGACCTTGATTAACCACCTTAAGCCCTAAACCCTAAGCCCTACATCAACTGTGAGGTTGAGTTGTCTGTTGCCGGCTTGAATCTTCAAACCCAAGACACAAAATCTTGAAACCTCATGATTAAAGCCCCCGTAGAATTCTGTGCCTGCAACCTCTAGAACGAAGTATTGGAGTCCTTCTTCGAACGTCGGAGTCTAGCTCCGTTTTCCCACTGCGATCTGCTGCATCAGGGACCTATAGCCCTTTGGCATTGCAGCTCCTAAACTTCTGTCGCCCCAATGGATGTTTTCAAGTCGGTCAGATGCTTCCATAGCCATTTCTGCACGTCGAAGTAATCAGACCAATTCATCGAAGTGCCAATCAGGACAAAGACTTTCTGCTGAAGTTCGATCAGAAGGAGTTATCCAACAAAGTCACCCAGACCCAGAGTGAGTCAAGCCTCTGACCACCCAGTCATTGCAGGTAAGAGACACCTTGTCCATCAACCGAGGTCCTTTTTGAGTTGTGAAATGCCCCGCACCCCACGTCCAGCCTATGCCCAAAGCCTCATAGTTGGCAGAATGTGAACCTGAACCAAAAAACACTCTCAACCCTGCTAAACCACAATAATTCCTAAGCCTTGAGCCCACAGAGACTCGATCCCTAAACCACAGACATCCTGAAAAATCCTCCCAAGCCCTGACTCCTGATGCCCTCGAGCCCCAATATAGAAGCTGAAACATACCACATGCCCCAAAACACAATTACAAGGAGTATACAGTATTAGACATCGACCCAAGACAAATTCTGAGCTGTTCACGCCTTCGTGGCCAAAGCAAAGCATCCTGCGTGTCCGCGCATGGCCGCACTTCCATGCCCTTCTTGGCCAGCCAGAAGGACCATGCAACTGCACAATAGGGGTCGGAATGATTGAGCCGCGGTATATGTATGTATATGTATACCATTATATATACGTATGTATATATATATATATATATATATATATACATGTGTGTGTGTATATATATATATATATATATATCCACCGCAGCACTCAGGAGGACCGCGAGAGCGCGTCCAAACGGCCGCGCGGCGCCGCGCTGGACAAATGCATAGCCCGATGCTCCGCATGTCAACAGTCAGTGTTGGGATCTCCGATTCAGATTTCAGGTTCGTGGCCTATGGTCTACCGTTTCAGGTTCTTGGCGTCGGAGTGGGGATCGGGGTCCTGCGATCGAGTTTGGGGTTCGGGAATCGGGATGTAGGGCTGTGGCCGAGAAGGGTTTCCGAGTTCCGGGGCCCTAATACAGGGGCCGCAATAATTAGAATAGGGTTCCTTTAAAGGGGTCTAGAAGGGCTACTACAAGGGATCTATAAGGGTACTATAATGTAGGGGCCGTAATAATTAGAATGGGGTTTGCGGGCCCATGATAATTATAATAAGGAACCCCCCAAAAAAAGTATTGGCAGGTGGAAGGGTGGACACAGGGTTCCGGCATCCTTCTCAAGCTGTGTTGAGGATTTCGGGTAGATTGAAGGGTCCCACGCCATTCAAAACGAAGCATCGTCTCTTCCACAGACTTCACCTTTAAATGATCCTATCCTCAGAAGAAGGCTTCGGGTTTCTGAGGGTTTGTGTAGAGGTAATTTCCCGGCTTATCATGTACAATGTCATGCTTTACACCAAAGCTTTAGGCTAGTAGTTAAGTTATCTTTCTCAAACCCTAAACCCCTAAACCCCCAAATCCTAACCCCTAAACCCCAAAGCCCTTAACTCTCAATCCAAGGATTACTGCAGAAGTTAGCCCTGGGAGTCACGGGAGTCCTCGGCGTTGCAGTGAGGCTGCTGGTCTGGAATCTTAAAGGTATTGTGGGTTTAAGGGTTTAGGGTTTAGGGGTGTGGTTTCGGGTTATCGGATTTTTTTTCTTCCGGTTCGGGATTTGGGAATTCGGCGTTCGGGTGAAGTAAGGGTAAAGTTGAGGGTTTCAGGCTGAACGGGTTTGGGAACCGGGGGAGTTTAGGGATGTTTACTGTGCTGCCGGGGAAATATGACGAGCAAGGCGATTCACTCCGCCACTGCCTGTGATGAAAGGGTCGGTATGTTTGCTTGAGGCTTAAAGCTGGGTGGGCGCTGTTTGTCGACAGTTTCCGGATGGGTTTTGATTTAGGGGCTCAGGGTTTAGGAAATCACTGGTCCAAGATGTAAGCCTTCGATCGCTTGCAGCATGTAGACTTGGGATGTGTCGGGTGCACGGCTCATGGTTCGACACAAGCGGGCTGTGGTGCAGTGCGACTTTGCAGACTTCAACACAAAACTTCCAACCCAAATCCCCGCTATCTTTGTTCCACAATCCGGCATTATTTGATATTGGGGGGCGGGGGGGGGGGGCTAAAGTTTTACCAAAACTCTGTTTGCAGGTTCCTTATTAATGGTACAATGGGCCCCAAAACCCTATTCAAATTATTAAGGCTCCTATAGTATGTGTTTATCAGAAGGACTTCCAACTCCTTAGCCTCCGTTCCCATGCGTGAACTTGCGGGCAAGAATGATGACCTACACCTCTACAGCCCAAAAGCGTTCCACCCCTAGAGCCCTTTAAATCGCCATGCGGGGCCGATCAAGAACAACGGCTCTTTCAGTGTATTTGGCCTTCACCATCTAGGGCAGTACAGACCCTGCTTCCTGCAGTCGCCCTAAGCCTTACTGTTGATGATGTAATTCCTGCATTACCCATCATAAGGAATATACCACATTTTCAATAGTTTAGGATCCTGACTGTACCATGTCCAGATCGCCGGCAGTGGTGGTGGCTCATGTCAGAAGTTTCTGCAAGCGCTGGTGCCTGGGCTCCGCAAATTTCAGATCTTCGTAAGAATGGTTTGGGGTTTAGTGTCCAGTCGAGTTAATGGCAAGAAACCATCATCGCAATCTGCTTCTTCTTCATCATAATCGCCGCGGTAGTATCGCTAATTATCCTCATCACGACCAAAGCCCGTGTCATCGCCGCAAGAATAACACTGCCGTGGCAAAGTGGCTATGGACTGTGGGGGCATAGCGCGATGTGACTCCCAAGCATTCTCAAAAATAAGGTGGGGGAGGGTGCTGACAAACTGTGGAGTTTAACAGGACATGCTGTTCCAGGGGCAAGTGTAGTCTCAATAGCACGAGCTCGTGGCAGGGTCCTTCACAACTGTGATAGTAGAGCTAGCAATGTCCAAGCATAGCAACTGTAGCGCCTAGAGGGATAAGGAGCAGTTGCCCGCGGTGTGGTTCGCAGCAGTGCTACTATCATCGAGAAACTGGCAGCAACAGCAGCAATGGCAGCAAATCCATTTCGCAGTACTCACCTAACCAAGTAGAGTCCATAACAGCAATGGCATTGTCATTGCCATAGTGGGATTCTCTGCAATACTGCTACTGCAACTGATACTCTTGAATGCGGCAGTCAATCATGTGATCAACGTAATCAGCTGTGAACACAAAGCCGGGAATGCTGACAGCCATGACGACACTTGAGAACGCCTGCCTTTGTTGCAGGGTTAAGTGTAGGGTTCAGGGTTAGTTCGCCGGAGTATGGATGCCAGACTGCGTGTCGAACCTTCCCTCATTTGCAATGCTAGGAAGCTCTTAAGGCGTCGCACAGCATCAAACCATCTCGAACTTCGTTATTCAAGCATGTCAGACTTGCAAATGCCCGCAGGTAGATGCGTTCCGCGTAGGCCCGTACCGTATGGAATTCCGTGTTTCTAGTCTTGCCAAGTCTTTCTGAAAGAGAGCCAGCTTATGATTGGTTGCGACGCGTCTTTATTCATGCCCCTGAAGCTAGGTATACCCTCGGCTTGCTGCTGATCGTGGCGATGTGCCTGCACGCGGATCAAAACTTAGCAGCACCAAACTTGCCCCTCAGCCGCACCCAAAGGGTCCTTGTAGCTAGCGGGGTTTCACACAAGGAAATAGAATCACCAAATCAGTAAATTCTTAAATGCCGGCCACTCCTACCGTAAACCCTTCGAAACCGGCCCCGAACACGAAACCCGCACTCTCTTTTTGGAGAACCCGTTTTGGGGTTGAGGGTATAGATGCAACCCTGGTAGTACCTCCTCATCCCAAACGTTCGGAAGTAAAGCCCCAAACTCCTCAAATCCCCAAGACTCGGGAACCCCCCAAATCCCAAGCCGTAAGCTCCTCAAACCCTATGACATCATCCACAAGAACTCCGAGATTTCCTAAACTTCCCCCAAAAAGCCCTAAAACCCACAAACCCTAACCCCCCTTAAGGCCGAACCCCGAACCCTAGACCCTCGAATTCCCCCGCCCGAAACCCTGAAACACCTAAAAACACTTATTGGGTGGTTGTCAAAATTATGGTACCTTTTTGGGTCCCTACTATAATACGGCACTTGTTATTTAGGGTACCCAAAAAGGGACCCTAATCTTGACACCTGTCCTTATCCTACACCCGTAAACCCTTCACCCTCGACTCCCGACCGTTCGCTCCAGACCCTCTAAACCCCCTCCCCCCCCAAAAAAAAAAAAAAAAAACAAGACACGAAGCCCCAAAGCCTAAAGCCCTAAACCCGCTAAACCCCCAATTCCCCAACAACTCTGAACCCTTGAAGCCGTAATATAGAAGCCTAATTAAATGGTTACCAACATGCTTGTTAGGGTTCCTTAGTATAATTATAGTATAAGATACCCCAAAAACCCTATTCAAAATATTAGAGCCCCTATAGTAAGGTCCCACTGCCAAAACCCTAAGGCCCACAAAAGCCCAAAACCCGCACCTCTTGAGCTGTAAGATCCCACATAGATCCCTCATAGTAGCCCTTATAGACCTCTTAAAAGGAACCCTATTCAAATTATTAAGGCCCTTTTTAGTAAGATCCCACAAGGAGTGCCATCGCCGAAGAGTTTGAGCTCAGCCCTCTGGAGAAGGACTCCAAGCTCGGCGGGCAGGTCCAGCTGGGCGCCTGGGCCTAGGTTTAGGGTGGTTTAGGGTTTAGGGTTCAGGGTTTAGGGTTTAGGGTTCAGGGTTTAGGGGCTTTTAGGATATGAGTTTAGGGGTTTAAAGGGTTTCGGGCTTAAGGGTTTAGGACTTAGAGTTTACGGTTTTGAAGGTTCGGTGGCTTTTGGGTTTAGGGGTTTAGGAGTTTGGGGCAGGGTTTCGGGCTGTAGTAGTTTGGCAAATCGGAGATGATTCTCGAAGCCCAACATCCTCGAGCCATCCACCAGCACAAGTAACCCTAGTATCCCCGCAACCCTAAGCCGTCAGAGCCCGGTATGAACCTGAGGCTCTTAGACACCGAGCCCTGATACTCACACCCCCCCTAAACCCCGAACGCGAAGCAAGCCATCAGAGAGCTTCTCGCAAGACCCTTAGCCTTAGCTTCTCTTTGCCCATCTGAGGCTTCTTTTTCGTCGGAGGCCGGGACGCAGCACCTACCATCAGCACAACGCCTAAACCCTAAACCCTAAACCCTAAACCCTGAACTCCTAAACCCCAAAGCCTAAAGCCTGAACTCCTAAACCCCAAAGCCGAAAGCCTACGGGCACTTAAACCCAAGCGTTACCCTGGACCATGCTCGGAGAACCTCAACCTACAGCCCGGAGAGCCCGATACCCCTTAATTAAGGAATACACCTTAAATCATAAGGGGCTTCATATTGTGATTTCAGCTATATTCCTTACCCAGGGGCCCAAAGCAGTTCCTTTTTGGAGTTACCCTTCATTAAGGAGTCATAAGGTGCTTCATATTATGATTTAAGCTATATTCCTGAATTAAGGGGTGTTCGGCTCTCTGGGAGTCTTGAGCAACGAGCAGAAAGGTGCATATTGAGGAGACACTACGAGTCCACAGGACCTGATAACTAAACAAAGCTTGTTGTGTAATGGTTCTGTAATCATGTAGGTAATGATTCGAGAATAAGTTGGCACTTAAGTTGAGGATCAGCCTTAGAGGTTAGCACGGGGGAGAGGTAATGTTACTATAGGTATGTAGACCCTGAGGAACCTCCAGACGCCCAAAACCCTAAGCTCTTCTGCAAGGCATTACAAGCCTGGCTCTTGGTCCACTAGCAGACCGAATGAATCGTGCTACTTCGCAGCAATCAGCTTCTGCAGGTATGCAAGATTCAGGTCGGATCTGTGAACATGCATCGTGGGCTGAGTCAGCTGTTGCGATTCTCGCTGGGTTGTGTCGGTTTCAAGTTCAATCCCCTTGTGCGTCTAGTACTATGTGCGGCTGAATCGCTTGCCTGTCACCACATAGGCCCAAGGTGTGCTGCACGCAAAACCCGAATCTTTTCGTGCTCGAAATCCTGGACCAACAGGAGCATCCGAAAGCCTCGGCTCATGTTTCTGGCCATAAAGGTAGTCTCCATTGTAGTTCCTTTTTCTGGTTAACCAAAAACTTTATTATGGGATCCTAACCATAAAAATGGTTAGCCAAAAAAGGGGAACTACAATGGAGACTATAGGTAAACCCTTGGGGGGCAAACTGCAGGTGAACCTCCTTCTGCTCGTAGTCATCCTGGGTTCCGTCCCCTGCGCGTTGATCAAGCAGCTCTGCTGCGAAGTTTCCTGAACCTACCTTTGGTTCGTAGGGAATGGAGGAATGGGGTATAACTATAACTACTATTACTACCATTCTTCCATTCCCTACTAACCAAAGGTAAGTGAAGAGGAGGAGCAACGAGGGCGCGAGATCCGAAGCTGATAAACGAACCTAAACCATCAACAGGGAGTGTCAAGGTTTCAGGCGCGGGCATGTGAGGTATAGCATGGGAGGCCCCAACAGGTTATAGGGGACACTCGCCGTATAGTCTGCAATACCAGAGTTTGCTTTAACACCGAAATGTTTTAAAGCTGTTCGCCGTCAGCTTTAAACCCTAACTACAAGCCCGCTCCTACCAAAAAGAATCAAAGCGCAGTCAAGGCTTCTAAACCCCAAGTCCTGAACCCTAAACCGCCCTAACCGCTAAGCACTCCTGTTTGGTTCCCAGAGAGCCTAATACCCCTTAATTAAGGAATATATAGCTTAAATCACAATATGAAGCCCCTTGTGATTTAGGGTTTATACCTTAATTTAATTAGGGGGTATTGGGCTCTTTGGGTTCCGGCTCGTCGCCACTTTGTCGGGCTCTGGGCTCATCTTTGGTTGTCCGAAAATTTGACCTGAATAGAGAGGTCTCTTTATCAAACATCCCCTCAGAGGTACTCTCTTGGAAGTTAGGGTTTTAGGATTTAGGGTTCCTCCCTAAACTTAGCATAGATTCGATGTTTGAAACACTCGCAACAATTTCGCGGTAGGTCCCCTCCTGAGCCTCAAATGCATAGTCTGTCCTCGAAGCTTGCAGCGGGTGTTGAGTTTAGGACTCGGGTTGTCTGGTTTATGGTTTCGGAGTGACCGGGGACATTTTGCACTTCAAGTACAGGAGGGATCGAGGGGGAAAAGCGGTTTAGGAGCATGGCAGGCGGGCGGGATATGAGATGCCATAAGTAGGGTAACTGTACTTAAAACCCATATTTGTGGACATATAGCCCCACTTTTTACTACCCCGATCTTGACCACCGCCGAGGTACATACCATCCGGCTCCAACGGTTTCTTGCTACTCTGCTTGCAGAGCACAGCTCAGTCTTGCTGAACCGGAGTATAATTGTCCCCTTTGGGTTTAAGCCGAACCCTAACCAGAGGTCAATAGATGCTGAGCCCAACACCCCGAAGCGCTGAGTCATTATCGGAAGAGGCATATAAGTACTGACACTTTGGATATGGGAGGTTGAATCCAACAAATGTACACCTCTCCAAGTCGTCACATTTGTACCATTTTGATCGTGAGCGGCCCTAAATTAGAGCGAGTGCATAACTGAAACCCTCATCCTTAAACCGGCACAGTGGACACCCCAGATGCAATCCGCGCCAGCCCCCTCTCCGCAAGCTTTACAGTAATTATGCGACAAAATCGGAACCCAGACGCGGGTCCGGCCTCTTGCTAGGTCGTGAACCTCCGAAATGTCTTTTTTTCAAAGCACTGGAGCCCTTGACAATCAACTTGGTTTTCCTCCATAACCGCCGCAAGGCCATACCACAAAGGCACCAAATCTTGACAACAGTAATGAAAAGTCTGGGCCCAAAGGCAAAAGCAACCAGGCAAAAACCAGAGACAATGTTGAGAATAGCAACAGATGGTAATGGTATAAGAAGACTGAGATTCGATTAACACAACAAGTACGTGACATTCTCGGTATCAGGTGTTTTTCAGCCTCGGCTTTCTTTCTCGTTCCAGAGCGTGCTACACGTATCTCCGTATGTGTATATATATATATATATATACACACACACATTATATACACATATTATATTATATTATATTATATTTTTATTGTATTATATTATATTATATTATATTATATTATATTATATTATATTATATTATATTATATTATATTATTTATATTATATTATATTATATTATATTATATTATATTATATTATATTATATTATAATTCTATATATTATATATGATATCTTGTATTGTGTTATATCTTATATATATATATATATATATATATGCTAGCCCCCCCCCCCAAGACCAACCCTGAATTCCCTAAATTCCCTAATTCCCTACCCATTGGATTTAGGTATTTCCCTAAATTCCCTAAATTCCCTAATTCCCTACCCCATGTGTTGGATTTGGGGAATTCCCTATTTCCCTAAATTCCCTAAATTCCCTAAATTCCCTAAATTCCCTAAATTCCTTAAATTCCTTTCCCTAAATTCCCTAAATTCCCTAAATTCCCTAAATTCCCTAAGTCTGACCCCCATGGAGAAGATTCAATGGTTTCCGTTCATGGGTAGGGAATTTAGGGAATTTAGGGAATTTAGGGAATTTAGGGAATTTAGGGAATTTAAGGAATTTAAGGAATTTAGGGAATTTAGGGAATTTAGGGAATTCCCCAAATCCAACACATGGGGTAGGGAATTAGGGAATTTAGGGAAATTAGGGAATTTAGGGAATTTAGGGAATTCCCTAAATCCAACACATGGTCCGGGCTGGGAGTCAGGAATGTTAGGGAATGCGCTAAAACCAACACATGGGGCTGGAAATTAGGGTATGTAAAGACTTTAGGGATTTAGGGAGTCTGCAGGAACTCTCGCATTCTGTAAATTCGAGGCATGGAAGCAGTGATTAGAGAATTTAGGGAACTCGACCTCGCGACGTCGCCGGTTGACGTGTCTGTGCAACTGATACTTGTAGTAATATTGATATTATTTTGAAAACTTTGAAAACTATAATACTCATACGAGTACTAATACTTATAGTAATACTACTGGTGAAACTGATAGTATGCTAGTATGAATACTGATGTTCCCAAGAATACTTGAAATCATGTACATTGTATGAATAGTCTTGATGCGAATACTAATATACATACTATAGCTAGTATTATCGCTAGTATGAATATTGGCTATGCATATTCGTGAAATTACTCATTTTTGGAGTACTCATATTCATGCTAATATTAGCACTAAGGCTAGTGCGAACGTGCATAATAACATGCTCATACATGAATGTTAGCATTCGTATTAATATCAGCATTGGTATGTTTTTCAGTAGTACTAGTAACTCATACGAAGTGTAACCTCAAGTTTCATATTCCGACGAATACCAACGCATGTTTTGTTCATACTAATTTTAATTCTACTACTAGTATCTACTCCTAATATTGAAAAAACTGCACTAATACCAATTTTAGAATCGATGTGAACACGAACTTTAATGTTCTTGCCAATACTATATAATATGCATAGTAATATTAGTTAGCATTAATGTATAGGAAAACTAATGTTCTTACGAATACTAATAATCATGTTCCCCTTTTATATTCATATAAGAATCGTCATGCCTAGATACGTACTAATGCTAGTACTCATGCTAATACGAGTATTAATACCAATACAAGCATAGGTATGAATATTCCTACGGGTATTTATGCTCATGTTCTTAACAAAATTATTCTCAGTACGAATACCGACATTAATAGTCTCTTTAGAACCATATTGATATTAATATGAGCACTAATACTTCGGCTAGTACGAACATGCATAATACTAGCAAAAATATTTGTGCTCATACAAATATAGAAAGATTACTACATACTCATATTAATATCAATACCAATATGAATTTACAAACATCATATTAATGTCAATATCGTTTTTGTAATGTATACTAAAGAATACATCGGAATAAGGCACAAAGGAAATGAATGCATCAGATTGTTAAAAACTCAATGTTTTCATTTACCAATATGTATGGTTATAGTATTATACTAATATACTAATAAATTAATATACTAATATACTGAGAAACTGATATACCAATAGACCATTGTTACTAATATACCAATATACGAGTATACCCAAAAAATTTTGTATTAATATATATATGTTTTGTTTATATACCAATATACTGAATATACACATATGAATACTTATACACATAATGTACTAAGACTAAGTTTTTAAAGCCCAGCCCACGTCTAATATTAATACGAATACTAACACAAACACTAACACTAACACTGCTATAGACATATATTAAATTAAACTGGAGCACTAATACTCATATTAATATTAAGACTAACACTGAGGTTGACACTGACGCCAGCATCAGCACTAACAGGAACACTAATCAAACGAACAGTAATATTGGACAGATACCAGCAGCATTGTTAGAACTTCTAAAATTAGTAATGACACAAAACTAATAATAATGCTAACACTAGCAAAAATATTAAGGTTACTGCTCACAATAATTGAGGTTCAAACTTAGAACAAAATTAAGTCAAGACCAATGTTAACACTGTTTTTTAAGACTGAAACTAATAATAAGACTTTGACAAGATGACAACTCATGTTAATATCAATACCAATATGGATTTACAAACATCATCTTAATGTCAATATCGCTTTTGTAATGTATACTAAAGAATACATCAGAATAAGGCACAAGGAAATGAATGCATCAAATTGTTAAAAACTCAATGTTTTCATTTACCAATATGTACGGTCATAGTATTATACTAATATACTAATAAATTAATATATTAATATACTGAGAAACTGATATACCAACAGACCATTGTTACTAATATGCCAATATACGAGTATACCCAAAATTTTTTTAATGAACATATATGTTTTGTTTATATACCAATATACTGAATATACACATATGAATACTTATACACATAATGTACTAAGACTAAGTTTTTAAAGCCCAGCCCACGTCTAATATTAATACGAATACTAACACGAACACTAACACTAACACTGCTATAGACATATATTAAATTAAACTGGAGCACTAATACCCATATTAATATTAAGACTAACACTGACGTTGACACTGACACCAGCATCAGCACTAACAGGAACACTAATCAAACGAACAGTAATATTGGACAGATACCAGCAGCATTGTTAGAACTTCTAAAATTAGTAATGACACAAAACTAATAATAATGCTAACGCTAGCAAAAATATTAAGGTTACTACTCACAATAGTTGAGGTTAAAACTTAGAACAAAATTAAGTCAAGACCAATGTTAACACTGTTTTTTAAGACTGAAACTAATAATAAGACTTTGACAAGATGACAATAATTAATAAAGGATGAGGCACACAAACTGGACTCTGTCTTTTACCACTCCGACAAGACGCGCCGAGAGTGTAAATGGTGTCCATAAAACTGGACCCTGTTTTTTACCAGTCTGTCAAGAAGCGTCGAGAGTGCAAACTTTGTACGGGAACACAAACACCATCGGTATTTACAGTGGTTTCGGCTCTTATTCATGACGCTGTGAAGACAGTAATGAGCAGGACAATGGCCGAGGTTGGTCCCGGGGGGGGGGGGTTACCATATATATATATATATATATATATATATATATAGATCTCTCTGTCTCTCTCTCTCTCTCTGTCTCTCCCTCTATATATGTATACATATATATATATGTGTGTGTGTATATATGTGTGTATATATATATATATACATATACATACATACATGCGGAGAATCGGTTGCCTTGGAGTCGTAAGGCACTTTTGAGGCCTCTTATGTTCACCTCCTACTGCAGCTGAGGCACACTTTGAAGGTGTCTTCCCTCGCACCTGTCAGTTTGTTCACATTCCCCGGTGTTGCCTCGTTTCTCGCGCTTCGATCGTGTTGTACGGTGGCGTTCTTTCAGCCGCCTAAGTTCCAGCTCTTGCCACGAAGCCCAGAATTCTGGGCCGCAAGGCCTTCATGCACAAATGGGAGTTTCCGAAAACAGGGGGTACCTTATTTTGGGGGTCCTTATAATAAGGATCCTACTATTTAAGGCACCATATTAGGGTCCCCTATCTTCGGAAACTCCCAAAATAGCCGACAGCGTTGTCCGCGCAACCTAGGAGGCTCCGACAACCTTAGATGATTAGACCGTTGCCCCCACCCAGTAACAGTTGGATCATATTCATAATCGAGATATATTAGGACCTTCATAGTAATTAGCCCTATTATAGACTCTTACTGTATGGGGGGGCAGTACCCAAATTAGACCGTTGCCCCCCCCCTCCTTCCTCCCGCCCCCCCTTCCCCCGAGGAAAACACAAAGCTCAGTTCCGATCAGATCGGAGTTTGGAAAGAATCCCCTACCTTAACCCACGTAACCTTCCTTTTTAAGGACTTACATAAAGAAATCATATTAGGGAACCCTAAAAAGGTAGCTTCCTTAGGGTCCAGGTAGAATGGGGATGGGTGGTTGTCAAAATTATGGTCCTTTTTGGGTCCTGATCATAATACGGCACTTCATATGTAGGGTACCCAAAAAGGGACCTCAGTTTTGACAACTACCCAGATTTAAATTCACGCAGACCGAGAATCAGAGGTGGTACCTGCTCTGCCGAGTTCTGACAGGCTTGCCTTTCTGCGTGGATGGGTTGAGGGTTCGGGGTTTGGGGTGTAGGATTCAGGCTTTAGGTTGAGTGTTTAGGGGTGTGGGTTTGCGTAGGATTTGGGGTTTTGGGTGGAGAGTTCCGGGTTGGGGCTTCAGGGTGTACGTAGGGTTTGGTTTTTTACCTCAACCCCAAGACAACCTACCATTTCAAGGACGTATACAGTAAATCATAGCAAGGAGCCCCAACAAGCTAGGTTTCTAAGGCTCCGGGTAGGGCTCAGGGTGTAGTTAAGCTCTGATCAGTCAGAGTTCTTGGCTTGCAGCCACTGGTTTCCCCCCCCACATGTCATTCTGAAGCTCGGCCTGTTCCCTAATTAAATAACCTAACACTTCGAGGATTCCATATTATGATTTCTTTGTATTAGACCCTGAAGGACCTACATTTGTGGGGCATTTATCTTCATCTTCGACCCTAAAGAAGCTACCTTTGTCGGGTTGCTTATTATGATTTCGTTATATTATGAGTCCTCAAAAAGGTAGGGTATTTGGGGCTTAAGGTATTGCCTTCATATTCAATCCCATAAGCACTGTGCTTGTCCGCAATTCCATATTCACAGTGACTCCAACCGTTGGAATGCTGGCTCTGCAGCCAGGTCTGCAGAAAAGAGTTCCAACTATTGTAAACGGATATCGGGGTTTCTTTCTATGGGTTTGGAGAGTGTAGGAGTACGGGTTCTATGCTTACAGATGCCCTTACCAGTCAGCGGTCCGCATTAATCAGGCCTCAACGAATTAGGGCGCGGACCCTAAGCCCTGAACCCTACCGCTCAGGATTTCGCGCTTCTTAATCCAAAGCTTCAAACCCCGCAGGAGTGTCTGTGGGCGGCTCCTTCCCGCTGCTGTACTCCCTCTGCTTCTCAGATGGAGGGCGTCGGGCAAGGGAGTTTTGGAGTTTGGGGTGTAAGGTGTGGCAGTTTAGGGTTGTGTAATTATAGGGAACTGTTGCGATCAAAGAGCTGCAAATGACTAGTCAACTGAACTCGTCGGGCATGGCGTGCGTGACTTGCTAGTATGCTGCCGGTGTCTAGCATGCAGCAACCACGGAAACGGGCAGAGCCCTTGGAATTTCTCACTTTGGGGTTGGGTTTGGGGTTTGGTTTACAGTTTAGTTTGGGGTGTAGGGTTTAGGGTCGTGAACTGGCTAGACAGCAGCTAAAAAGGGTTTAGGGACAGGTTCGGAGGCTCTTTGGTGCAAAGATACCATGGTTATTTGGGGCTACCGCACGGCTGTTGTGTTTAGATTAGAGAACAGGAGGCATGGGTGCTCTTAAGCGATCGCTGGGGGAACCCAGTAGTTCAATATAGAGGCCTGATTGATTAATTGCTACTACTACCCAATTATAGTCTTCATAGAGTTTTACTGCAAGTAACCCTATACCCTAAGCCCCACACTCTAGGCTAAGTCAGACCCCTACACTTTCGCCACCGGCAAGAGTCTGAGCTCTGAGGTGGTGACCTCTGCGCAGCCGAACAGCGAGGGATTATTTCAGCTGCCCCTTGGCCTGTGTTGCTGGGGTCAGCAGAAGTAGGGGATTTTAGGGGTTCAGGGTTTAGGGCTTAGGGGTTTAGGGTTTAGTGGTTAGGGAGGTGGCTCCCTAATGTAGAACCTCAGAAAGGTATGTTCATGTATGTTCGCCGCTGTTCTATTGGAATAAACATCGGAAGCCACTCCCAGCCCCTTGAACCCTAAACCCAAAGCGCTACACCCTAGACGTTAAACAACCCTTCGTTCTTAGCTACTTCTGGTCTACACGAGGAATCGGCACGTTCCTTCATGAACGTTAGCCGATAGGCACGGATTACTGCAATATAGAAGTTTGAATAGTCAGTATAAGACCATTCAGGGTTTCTTCCTCATGATATCTATATTGGGTTCAGGGTTTGGGGTTCCTCGCTGAGTATACTTCCCGCGCTGCTCTGCAGCAGTCCAACGAGTGGCAGATCAACCGGGTAGTAGAAAGCAGTGACAGTGCTTGGGATGTCGAGCGATGGCTCTACGCAAAGCTCGTGCAGGACCACCCCGAGGCTATCACGGCATCTGGCAAGCCGTCGATCCGTGTACGAAGAAAGGCTGCTGGAAGCTGCCCTACATGGGGTGCAGCTTGCAATCGGTTCTCTATTGCTGAACTATATATGGGTTCAGGGCTTACGACTTGGGAAAACGTCAGGATTCGAAGACCGTGGCTTTGAGTTCAGGTTTGTGGGTTTAGGGTTTGTCCTAGGATTGGTTTGTGTTTAGGGATCTCACGGTTCAGAGCCTGTGATTACCTGAGGTTCTGCCACAAATGGGTTCTGACTTGGGTTTAGGGCTTACCTCTACCCACAATCCCTCAACCCCAAAACCCAATGCCCAAGTCCCTTATGGAGAAACATCGCTCGGTCGAAAAATCGCTGGATTCGCTGGATAGATAGATGGATAGACAGATATGTGGATAGATGGATGAATGGATGGATGGACGGACGGAGGGAGGGATGGATGGATGGAGGGGTTGACTGATTGATTGAGATATGTTACATAGGTTGACGACAAATAAGCAGTTCGATCGAGCGATAGATAGCTAGCTAGGTAACTAAGTAGATAGATACATAGACACCAGATAGGTAGATGAAACCCTTGTAGTAGCGTTGACGCTAGGTCCTCAGCGGGGGCGGCGCGACTCAACATAAATGTAAGCAGAAATCTCAAATCTTAACCTAAGCCCTAAACTCCTAAATCTAAATCCCTAAACCCTAAGCCCTAAACCCTTAAACACTGAACCCTCAGCCTTAAACCCCTAAACCGCTGCACCCGCGCCGCTTTCGTTCGATTGAAGCCTTCAGCTTCTCAGGCCATGGGGGTCGCCACCTCCGTGGGGGTAGCAACAGGCTCCCGACCAGCTGGAATGGGTTTGTTTTGATTAGATGAATTCTATGCAATGGTCGAACAGGAATCCAGAGTGGTTTATAAGGATAGAGTTTGATATAGTTTTCAGTGGCCGAATAGGAATTCAGAGTGGTTTATAGGATAAATAAAGTTTGATGTATTTTTTAGGGGACCATGGGGATCTGAGAGAAAGTCTGGCGCATTGGATTTTGGGCTCAGGCTTGGGTCGGAGGCCTCAAAAGGTGGGATGAAGGTAGGTGGGATATTCCCAAATAAGAGTCCTTATATTATGAGGGATCCTTAATCCTACCCACCTTTTGAGACCTCCGATTGAGGACGTTGGGTTTTGCAGAAAATATGCATGTCAGGCGCGATTATTCAGGGCAGGGACCTGGGGGTTCGGGTGGGTGTAGGATTTCGAGTCAGTCTCTTGGCTCCTTTGTTCTGTGTAGTTAGGGGTTTAGGGTTCCGGGCTGAAGGGGTTAAGGGCTTCAGGGTTTAGGGTTTAGGGTTTAGGGTTTAGGGTTTGGGTGTAAGGCTTTATGCTTTCATAAAGGTGTAAGGCTTTAGGGGTTTAGTGTTTAGGTTTGCGGTTTCTCAGGTTTCAGGCAGATTGCACGATTATAATAGGGCAGCTAATATTTAGGGTACCCAAAAAGGGACCCTAATTTTGACAACTACCCACATGCTTCAAGTTCCCAAGCCAATTGTCAAGGATGCTGTGTTCACGAGCAAAAACCCCTGCCGTAGATTTGCAGCCCTGCACCCTTAACCCCTACTCTAGCCCCGCATCTACCACCTCACCAACACTATCGTTACTATAACTACTACTATTACTATAACAATTATAAGTACTATTACTCTATCCGATGTCCTACACTCTACACACTCGACCCGAAGTCCTGCCCTTGACACCCCTTTGAGCCCGAACTACGAGAGGCTCTAAATCCCTGCCGTTGGAGCACGGTTCGACGGGCTTCTAAAGGTCAACTTCTCGCCGGGTTTCTCGGGCCTCGCTTGGGCTGGCGAGTGCCCTTCGTCGCCGCGGCTTTGGCTGAAGGTTTAGGGTTCAAAGTTGAGGGCTGACTCTTAAGTGGGTATGGGTCTTACTACGTACTTGGCTCAGGTTGTGTGATTGTAGGAAACAGGATCCCCGGCTTCAGCAGTTTTTCTTTCTTTTGCAACGAAACAGGTGTTAGGATTTGGGGTTTTCTGCAAGTTGGTCCTTCGGTTTCATAGACCCGTAGGTCTTGAGATTTTGATAAGGTGGGTACTCGGATTTAGTTTCCTATTTGGTGTGTAGGTTTTGTGATGAACTGGGTATTAGGATACTTTGTTCGGCTGCAGGTGTTTATTCTGATCCGGCGATGAAGGGGCTTCCAGGGTTTAAAGTGTAAAGTTTAGGAGTGTAGGAGGCCAGGGTGCGTGATTCGGAAGCCCCAAAATCTAAATTCTGCATGCATCTGCATGTTCGTATGGTCGTCCAAAAAGTTCTGTGCCAGGTTTGCTGAAAAGGAACCATAGACGAGCTGGATACGCAGCTTCAGTTGTGGAGGTTCAAGGTTCCCACTTTTGGATGTCGGGTTTTCTATAGCTTATAGGGCTCTACAGTGTCTCAGGAGGGTTTCGGGGTTGAAGTCGGGTTTAGGGTTTGAGGTTTGGTTGTTTTTGTTCAGGGTTTACGATTTAAGGCTTTCGGCGGTTTGGGACGTCGGCGGTCGGTCGACAGAGGGCAGAGACTTGAGGAATAATCCTCTTAAGGCACCCTCACTGGGGGTTTAGGGTGTAGGGTTGTAGGGCACTCAGCTGAGGTACATCGGAGCCTCGCAAAAGGTTTAAATTCGGCAGCCTGTATTGCCAGAACTTCTCAACGCTCGACTATGCTCTAAACATCTCTCCACGCTTGCGGCTCCGAAACCTTGGGCTAAGGGTCGGTTTAGGCTTTAAACGATGAAGCCCTACAGCCCAACCCTAAGACCTAAACCCTAGACCCTGACTATAAACCTTCTTCACGTCTTCAAGGGCTTGTCGTCCTCCCAAGCACGCTCCGTTTCGCTTCCAGCGCAGCGCAACCCACAGTTACTGCTGGTGGCGGTGCAGCATTTGTTTGAGCTCTTGACTGACAGTTCCCTAAGGGTCCAAGTACCTAATTATCATATACTCTCCAAGATTGTAACCTGCATAACTACTATCCTAAACCCCAGTACCTAATTGGGCCCTTTGGACCCTTAAGGGGTTGCTCAGGTGGCGTATCCTGCCATCTTCTTCGCTATCCTCCTTTGGGCCGCAGGGCCGCCAAAGAGTCAGAGCTTGATTGCACCTCTGGGATTTCGTCCTTGCAACCCTTGACCCCTTGTAAGCCCGCAACCCCTAAAACCTAATTTCGGGGCCTAAATAAGCACCAATGCTGTTTTGGGGGGGTCCCTTACTACACTTATAGTATACTGGGCCCCAAAACCCTATGCTATCCGGAACCCTGAAACCTTAAAGGCCCGGGACTCTAAATCCTGCGGAACACCTTAAACCCTAGATCTTCAACCCCAACACGTTCACCTTCCTGTCTTATACGCCCTGAGCTTAGGGGTACCTAAGAAATAATTGTTAATTTTGGGTTATTATAATCCCTAAGAAACAGCTAAAATTGTAATTGTTGCTAGGGTTCTAAGTTCAGTATAGTTTAGGGTTCCGTGCACCCGGATCACACCTCGCGACTGAGATCAAAACGAGGCCGGTCCAAGAAACAGAATCGCAGGGTTCAGGGTTTTCATCTACATATGAGGGTTTAAACTCGGTGTCAAGGTTTCACTCCCCGGGAAAATCTTCCGGAGAATAAGAGCGCCAAGAGAATATCAGTTTCAAAAAGGAAAGGCTGCACAGACAAGACAACGCATCCTATTTCGCAAGAGGAGAAGAACTAGAAGCCCCTTGCTCCAGAGCCTCCAAACCCCCAAACCCCGAATCCTTCGACCCTAAACCCTGCCCCTTTTCGTCGGTTTCAGGCCACGAGCCCTAGACCCCAAACACCAAGTTCAGGCCACGGTGCCGGACCCACGGAAGAGGCAAAATACCGAGGCCAGCCACGGGAACTGTAGATTCTAATTCTTGCGATAAAGGCTTTAAGGGGTTACCAACGCGGTTACTTTGAGGGTTACTGTTGAGCTTGCTTTGGAATAATATAAGGCTGTGTCTCGCTAGAGCAAATCTAGCTTTCAATAATGTTCGGCCTCAGGAGAAAACACGCGGACGAGAGTGGTTCAAATAACGTTGACATGAGTTGAGGCCCGAAGACATACATTAAACGTGCTCGTATCAGGAAGCATTGGAGACCAAGATGTCCCAATGTCCCGTGCCCTAAGTTGCCTTAGACCGCAGCTCCCAAATGCCGAAAGCCCCAGGCAAAGCCAAGCGAGAGCAAGCTCCAGAAGGAAACATCGAAAACCAAGCGCCTCAATTTAACCTGCCTAAACCCCCCAAAGTAGGTAAAATAATGGTCCAATACCTATAAAAGGCCATTATTCTACATACTTTGGGGGTCCAGGTGTGAGCTCTTCAACCTAAAATCCGAACCTCCGCAGCAACCTAGACCCCAAACCGTACACCCGATAAGCCCCACACGACTCAGCTGCTGAAGTGCTATATAAACTCTTTAACCCTGAACCCCAAACAGCCCAAACACTGTTCAACTCCGAAAACCCCCAAATCCTTATACACCCTAGAACCCCTATAAAGCACTGAAACCCCTACAAAGCCAAAACCCCCCAAGCCTACAAATACCTGTAAACCTTACAAGCACTACAAACCACCCTGAAAGCACCAATCAGCCATGGGAAAGCACCAAAATCCTTATAGACCCCGAAATGCCGACAAGCCTTGAAAGCCCTATGAACGTTACTCTCAACCTTGAACATAGTTCCCTGTTTGATAATTATAGTAAAATGAGCCCCGAAATCCTAGTCTAATTATTAAGGCCCCTGCACTACAGTAATTTATAGATCCCTTGTAGAATCCCGTATAGGCCCCGTTTAAAGGAGCCCTTTTCTAATCATGAAGCCCTCATCCCACCCCCGGGCTTTGCTCTGTGAGGATGGTATCGAGCTGGCGCATCGCAGCCCAAAGGACATCCGCTGAAGAGTTCAGGGGCTTTCTGCAGGATGCTACGAGGGTTTCGGGTTCAAGGTTTCAGGGTCTAGAGATTTGGGGTTTAGGGTCTTAGGGTGTAGAGGTTTAGCGTTTGGGGTTTGAGGTTCAGAGTTTTAGGGTTTTAGGGTTTCAAGGTTTAGGATCAGGGCCTTGCGACTTTCTGGCTTCGACGCTCTGTCGGAGGACTGAATTTCTTGTGGGATTTGGGGGCGCAGGTTGTGGCCTAGAGGTTGGGCCCAAAGAAGCCCGAACACCCTACAATGTAGGTTGGGGGTTTATGGTTTAGGGTTTGGGATTACATTTCGAACGTTGCATCAATTGAGATTGCCACTGGGGGCCCCCGGGGCTTACAGCTGGATCAAACCTGAACCCAGGCTCCTATTGATGGGGTTGCAGCACCTATACTTTCCGGGAGTCGGGGGCCTTGTAGACCGCGGGAAGTTTGTGCATGGCTGGTTTGGTTGATTACCTCTAGACTCGAAAGATCCAATATACGCCGAGACGTGAGCCCGCGCACATTGATCTAACACTGGTGGAGAAGGCCTTCAGCCCTGTAAGATCATACTAGGTATACCTGTAGTTGATAGGCCTTTAGGACTCTTTGTATTTTCCCTTATTGGGATTAACCGAAAACCTCTACTTTCACATGGAGACCTAAAACCTTCAACCTCCTACGGCCCAACCGCTATAGCTCCTAAAGCTGAAACTGCAAAGCCCCACAGCACCCGAACCCAGAACCCCTAGGCCTCCTCTGGCGAGGCCAATGCAGGGTCCGCAAGTTCGACGGAAGCTTATACTGCCGAGGTCGAGCTGCAGGCGGGCTTCGGAATCGAGTCGAATTCTTTAAGGGTTTAGGGTTTAGGGTTGTGAGGTTTTAGGGCCAGGTTTCAATTTCATACAGAATTCACTGCCATAGAGTCGAAATGAAGGGTCCCCAAACCCAAGCCTCCCAAGCCCATAAGCAGGAGCCGTCAAAATCATGCCTGATAAAGCCCTTTTTCGAGCTTAAATTCAAGAGTTCTTTAAACAAAGGGCCCCCCTCCCCGAAGCCCTATAAAGCCTACTTTCTTTAAAGCCCTAAACACTGCACCCTAAACCCTCGGTGTGGATGACGTCTGAGTGGGATCCTTTGTATTTCAGTGTAGGCCCTTGTGGCGGGCTCGACTTACTCTCATGCGGAGCAGAAAGAGCCGTTGCACTTAAAAAAACCTGAACCTTAAACCACCTTAAACCCTAAACCCTAAACCCCTAAAAGACTCCAGATTCCAAGCTCAGGCCGAAGTGCCCGTGTCGGAAGTCTACGAGCGCAACCCGGAGCGGAATGCCAGCCAAGGCCTAAACTCCATGGTTTTGGGGGTTCGAAAGGGGGTGTCGGGTTTAGGGGTTTACGGGTTTAGGGTTTAGGCACGGGTTTAGGGTTTAGGGGTTTGGGGTTGAGGGCCTCAATCCAAAAAAGTTGTTTTTCTACCGGCTGTCTACGTCTGCTCATGATGCTTCTACGAGGCTTCAAAAGTTTCTTATTGTTCGTTTATAGAGAGTTTTATGAGGGGTTTGAGTTTTGGGAGTTTGTGGTCGGAGTGCTTTGGTCTGTCGTGTAGAGAAGTCTCGGGGGACCAGTGGACAGCTTTGATGTAGGGTTTAGGGTTTAGGTTCTCAGTGGCCAGTAGGGTTTAGGGTTTAGGGGTTTAGGGTTTAGGGGTTCTCAGTGGCCAGTCTTGATGTAGGGCAATGTAGGACGTGATGCTTGGAAGCCCCAGATGTCTCTCTGGAGCCAGAACCCCCCACCAAACCCCAAAATCAAGGCCCTCAGCTGCCCTAAGCGAGAACTCCACGCCCGAAGCCCAAATGTTTCATGAACTTCCGCCTCCCGCAGCTGCCAAAGTCACAAGGCCACAGCAATTCTGCTGAGATGAAGCGCGCCAACACATCCGAGACCGATCTGGCGCGCGATGGGTTTAGGGTTGAGGCTTCCTCAAAATGAGGGGGGAGGGCCTTCCTGCGGTTGATGATATAAATCCTGCATTACCCATAACAAGGATCGAAGATACCATTATTCCCATCGTTTAGGGTCCGTAAGGTAATGCAGGATCTATATATCATCAACAGTAGTTCGAGCAGTTTGATGGTACGGGTCCTCAGTACTCATGGCTTTTAGGGTGCAGTCGCGGCTTGTCAAGTTGCCTCAAACCCGAGCTGTCACTCCTCAACCTCACGCCCGATGTAGGTGGGTAGTGAGTTCGAGTTGGACACGAAAGAGATTTCTCCGAGAAAGAAAAGGATCCTACCTTCAACAAACATGGAACACCATGCAGCACTAAACTAAACTCTAAACCCATAAACCTTTTTGAAAGCACCGCATCCTCCCATGGGCTCATTTCCATGCTGGAGAAGGGCTGAAGAGATGGATAGCTGGTGCCCTGATCCATGATGTGCTTGGATGCGTGTTTTTGTTGGAAGGTGGATTTTGTTTTCGGGTTCCACATACATACAGACGTACATACTTATGTATCTTGGTATGAACATACAGATGTATATACATATATATATATATATGTATACACCTACGCATCAGTTCCAGACGAGTCTTTAAGTGCCGGAGCATTGAGTTACTCCGGTTTCCAGTCTCGGAGCCTGGAGTTGAGTTCAAGCATGCTAGAACTCTTGAAGCCAGAGAACGTCACATTTAGGTATGTATATCCCACTGATATGTACGTGAATGTAGTTCTATCTGAATGCATACATGCACATAGATCGATAGATACATAGAGTGATAGATAGGGGTACAGAGACAGTCACACAAAGTATGTATAGTTATATCTTTATTTCGTGCATATGTGTGTGTGTGTGTGTGTGTGTGTTCAAGGATGTACAGCAATAACATGTATGTCCAGATTTACAGGAGTTCTGGCCTCCACTATTAAGTCCCTAGACGCAAAACTTTCAGCCAAAAACCCCAAACCTTTCCCTTAAACCTTGAACCCCAAACCCTAAACCTTAAACCCCAAACCCTAAACCTTAAACCCCAAACACTAAACCCCAAACCCTAAAGCGCAACCCCCAACCTTAAACCCTAAACCGAAGCCCTGAGCAGGCCATGGACCCTCACGCCGACCAGCCCCCAGCAGGGAGTGGGGACTCTGGGCGCTCATCTTCGGGTTCACGGTTTAGGGTTTAGGGTTTAGGGTTCATGGTTTTGATTTTGGGCGGTCTAGGGATTTACAGGTTTTGCAGGGCTTAAGGGGCTTTAAAGGGTGTGAGCGTTAGTTTAGTGTTGACGGTTTTGGGGTTTCGTGTTGAGAAGTTCAGTTAGAGTTTCAGAGTTTTATGGTTTTCGGCTTTTTGGTCCTAATTTGGGGTTTCAGAACTGGAAGAGGGCTGATTGCAGTAGCGCTGGCCCAAACGTTTTATATAAAGGTCCCCGAACAAGCATACTTTTACATAGACCCGCCCCGGCCCCCCACAAGCCTACTCCTAGCTGTCCAGGCCCCTGAACCCCCATCTCGTGTGCCCTGAACCTTCTGTTCTCTTCTGGTTTCCTGTGGGGGGGGGGTTCTGTGTGGGGGTTCTTGACACGCAAGCCAGTTTGCAAAAGCTGATCTGCAGGGTTCTGTAGCAGTTCGCAGCCAAGCCTCAGGATTTAAAGGATTCGGATTTCAGGCTTCAGGATATGGGGATTAAAGGTTGGAAGCTTGCACGTGAGGAGTTTCGTGCTCAGTGCCAAAGGTTGTTTTGTGATTTGGGGCTTTCGGGTTAATGGTTTCGCAGGTGTTTCGGATAGGTGGTAGAAGGCTGCCAAGATATGTTTCGGGTCACCTTCAAACACTGCGAGCACCATGACATTCCACCATAGACCCTGAAGCAAAGCCTTGCAACATCTTCTGAACTGCATCCGCTGTGCACAAACCTATATAGACCCGAGTCAAGAAGCCACACAAAGGTTGCAAGAGTGAAGTTTGCAGACCAAGCTCCCAAACGTTAAACTCCAAACCCCAGGGCCTTCAACACAGCTTACGATCCCCCCAAAAACGGTATTTCAATTTCGGGGACCCCGTTAAATCCTGAACCTTACATCCCAAGCCCACCTCGTAGCAATCAGGCCGTGACGGATTGCAGCCGATTTGGATTGGTTTGGCGAGGCATTCGCTTCAGGGTTCGAAGGGTTCAGGGTTTTGGGGACGAAGGGTTGGATTTAAGGTTCAAGGTTTAGCCCTATGAAACCTTTCGGGTTTCGGGGTTGGGCCCCACGCTGCCGGTCAAGGTCTAGGAGTTGTAGGTTCTGTGTTTCGAGGCCCAATGCCCTTGTGGGCTCTTGCTAGCGAACTTTAGTCAAGTTTCCATAGTAAGGCGACCCCATCATGTACTGTACTATAGAATTACGCCTCTCTATTCTGTTATAATTAGACCCCTATCAAGAGAACTTTAGCCATAACCCTCAACACTAAGCCCACAGGTTCACCCAAGGCCGCTGGAGGGCTAGGGTAGAGTCCTTGCCCTTGCTCCCGCGTCTCTCCAAGCGCCTAGGCCATGAAGTCAACCCATACCTGTATACCTTAGATGGGGCCCCGGCCCACTAATAGTTCAACAATAGGTTTATTATCAAACAGACAGGCCAAAAGTAGCACAAGGAAATCTGATCTCATTCGGTTTTTCAGGGCCAGGCAGTGTTTTGAATCCAAATATGTTTGGCATAGTTTGGCGATTAGGGCTGTGAGATGGGGTCGGACCGGCGAAGAGGTTGGGAGGAGCTATCTGCAACTTACCAGCGCAGAGGTTTGGAACCACGGTTTCGTTACCATCGCAACCTGGGCCAAGAGACCTTCTTTCAGACGGCCTGGACGCGGGGACTGGACTGGCCCGGCCGCCAGAGAGACAGAGCAAAACTAGCACCAGAAAAGCACCAAACAAAAAAAGCACAATCGGACCGCGTCGAGCACAAGAAAAGCACAACAGACAGAGACAATTTTGCACCAGAACTGCCGCGCGCCAATGTGTTTTCAAATCATGGAGCACAAAAAAAAAAGCACAAACATACAAACACGTTTGGTTTTTGGAGCACAAGAAAAGCACAAAAAAAAGCACAATCGGACCGCGTCGAGCACAAGAAAAGCACAACAGCCGGGTCGTTTCGAGCACAAGAAAAGCACAAAAAAAACACAAACATAAAAACACGTTTGGTTTTTGGAGCACAAGAAAAGCGCAAACAAAAAAGCACAATCGGATCGTTTCGAGCACAAGAGAAGCACAAAAAAAAACACAAACGTGCAAACACGTTTTCGGAGGCGTGAAGCCAAGCCTGCGTAGATTGCAGAAAGAGTACAGGCAAAGCACAAGAAAAGCACAACAGCCGGATCGTTTCGAGCACAAGAAAAGCACAAGAGCAAAGCACAAGCATACAAACACGTTTGTTTTTTGGAGCGCAAGAAAAGCACAAAAAAAGAAGCACAATCGGACCGCGTCGAGCACAAGAAAAGCACAACAGCCGGGTCGTTTCGAGCACAAGAAAAGCACAAGAAAAAGCACAAACATACAAACACGTCCGTTCAGCTTTCCAGCCCAGCCCCCTCAGCCCCCCCCCAGCACCCCCAGCCCCCCCCGCCTCGCCCCCCCTAGTCGCGCAGAGGCGTTGCAGCTCCTGATGTTTGCTCAAGATCGAATCCGAGAAAACAACAGGGGTGTGACTGTGTTTGCAACTCATGGGGTGGCAGTTTACTTGTTGTCTCAGTCATGCGTTTTCCATTCATGCGAGCATGATCAAAAACGAGTCAACATTTCAGCATTTCCCTGGTGCTTCATCTTGTGCTTCTGTTTCTGCCCACTATTAGTGAGGCGGGGCCGCACACAATGTATACCTTAGAAGGGGCCCCACCCTGTAATAGTGGTATAATAAGAATATAATAGGGCCCTAATATAATCCTTATAGTCTTTATAGTCACTATTACAAGGTGGGGGCAGCTTCTAGTGTATACCGTTTGTTTTCGGGGATTCCTTCTTTAAATGAAGAAGAGGAAGAAGGGCAGCCTTCGCGGGATATTGGGGCACGTGCAAGCTTGAGCCCCAAAGCACCAAAAAGCACGAATTATCTTAACTTAGGCGTACTTAGAAATACTTTTGAAATTTTTGGTTATTATAATCCCTAAGCCCTAAGAAACAGCTAAAACTATAATTTTTGCTAGGGTTCTAAGTTCAGTATAGTTATGCCCACATGTCAATCTCGGAGCCTGAGCTCGGAGCTTGCAATCCCAGTGATCCCAGTGCCCCTTAACTAAAGAATATACTCACCTTGAACCATAATATTAAGGCCCCTACAATTTAAGGCCCATGCCCTGATTGGGGGATATTGGGATCCCCTAAACCCTGAACCCCTGGACCCTAAACCCTAAAACCGAACCCTAAACCCTAAAACCAAAACCCTCAACCCTAAACCCTAAACTGTCATCCTGACGAGTCCAGACGCCCATTGCGCCCCTTTCTCCAGGTCGATCCAACCGGATTTTCTTGTGCCAGGCGATGGCTCATGTGAGTTCGGGTTTGCGGTTGAGGGTTTTAGGGTTTAGGTTTAGGGTTTTAGGGTTTTAGGGTTTAGGGTTTTAGGGTTTAGGGTTTAGGGTTTAGGATTTAGGGTTTTAGGGTTTTAGGGTTTTAGGGTTTAGGGTAGTAAAAGGGTATCATTGGATATGAGCGAGGTATGAGATTTGGGGCATGGGTATTGAACGGGGAAGTGCGAGGGTGAACATTAATCGCCCTCAGCATACGGGAGGTACCTGGGTATGGCGTTGGATTCTGGGAGGCTTGTTTATGCTGCAGGGCTTCAAAGTGTAGGGCATGGGCTGATTCGCCAAAGCTGCACCCTGACCTGATAACCGTGAATACCCAAGCATAGAAGCCAAAATAACTTCACGCATAGCATAATATTATTCCCCAAAACCTACTCTAATCAAAAAGTCGTCTAGTCAACCGTCCCTATGTCATAGTCACAGTATATATGCCCAAAAACCCTTTGGCTTTGAATGCATGAGTCAGGCCTTCAGGCTTTTGTCAGGCCTTTGGGGTTTTGGGCTCAGGGTTTGTGGGGGGTACCATGGATCAGGCCTTTGGTGCCTTGCCTCTTTGTGATTCTGGTGAGGGCCCCATGGACTTAAGGTCCAACATAGGAGCCTTCGTACCTAGAACAGGTGGGTGGTTGTCAAAATTTCTAAAAAGGGACCATAATTTTGATAACTGCCCAGGTGTTGAGGGTACATGCCTGAGGGTACGTGCCAGGGGGTATTGACTTAGAGCAAATGGCGTCGGGAGATGATCGCTTGCATGAAGCGGGCTTTCGAGGGTTACCCGTAGGCACCAAAGTGGTTCTTTTTGGGGGTTCATATTCAAAATGCTATAAGGTATTCCTAAAAGAGGAACTACTATGGGGCCTGTGGGTAAGGTCTTAGCAGTTCAGGGGTTTAGAGTTTTGCAGTACGGCCGGCAACCTGAACCCCTGCACTGCCCACGGCACGAAACCCTAAACCCCTCAGCCCGAAGCCTAAACCCTAAACCCAGAAAGAAATATGTAGAAACCTCTTGTCATTGTTGATGTTGCAGACCACAGCCCCCGACCCACCACTTCCCAAAAAAGAAACGTTTCAACACATTATTTCCACCCAAACCCTTATATAACAATTTCTATAAACCCCTAAACACCTGACCACCTGAACCTAGATGCACTAAAAAACAGGCCGTTCCCGGCTGCATCGCTTGGTCGACTGCCCCTTGGCGTGCAACAGACCATGGACTGGCAAAGCTTTCAGGGAGGACTTGGGGTTTAGGGTTTCGGGATCAAGATGTTTTCGGGTTGGGGGGTAGTGTTTTGTGGCTTTAGGTTTTTAGGGGTTTAGGGTGTTGGGGTTTAGGCATTTAGTTAGGGTTAAGGACTAAGGGCTCGAGGTTTTGGGATTTGGATTTGCGGCACTACTTCGGGGAATCTTCCAAGGGTTCCCTTCAAGCTACTTGTACCTTCGCAAAACAGCCGGCTAGGACACCCTAAAGGTTCAATGCCTCACTCTCTAGGTTGCTTTCGGTTTAAAGTTTTTATAGGGTCTGGGACGTTTGCTTGGGGCATTTTGTCAGCGAGTCGTGGGGACTTTGAGCAGAATTGTCTCGTGCCTAGTTCGGGAAGAGGTCTTTTGACCTGAAAGAGAGATTGCAAAACCCGAAAGCCCTAAAGCCCTGGACACGCTGAACCTGACTCCGAACCTTTGAACCGTGAAGTCTGAACGGCCCTTGTCCTTCGAGCTCCATCGGGCTTCTGTGCTAAAGGTGACTACGTTCATCCCAGATTACCTCCACAAAGAGCAAGGCCCTGCTTCGGGGTTTCTAGGGACCCCAAAAGGCACACAAGCATAAGCATTTTGCCGGGATATCCCAAGCTTTTTGGGCTTCCTTTTAAGCGGGTTTATATGGGATATCCCTCTCCTAATTTTTGCTTATGTGCTTTTCTGGGGTCCTAGTTTCGGGGTGAAGGACGCCATGCAGGCTACAGAGGTTTCGGCGTTGGCTTCTGGCGAATGCGCTTGGGGCTTGAGCGTCGAGGTTCAGGGCTTCTGTGTTTGGGGATTTTGGAATAGGCTTCAACGAGTTGAGTTTTAGGGTTTCTACAACCCGCCTCCTCCCAATATTTTCAGACCTAGCGCTCAAGGATTGTTGAAGGGCAGGCATTCGTATCAGCTCCACCATCATAATTTTGGGCGGGGACCTGTTGAGGATAGTCTTGTGAGGATCTTATTGGACAAGTTGAAGTTTTGCCACCTCAGGCAGCTTCCACATCCTTCTGCAACACTGAACGCAAGAGCAATAACGCTCCAAACCTAGACCCTCAAACCCTGAAGCCCAAGCCCCCCTCCCCCCAACCCGTCCCTCCCACCCAAAAACAAAGGCTAAACTCCTACTTCAGCCAGGGCTCTCCGTGGAAAGCGCCACTCTCTTGGTCTCCTTCTTTGGAGCTTCGTGTCTGGGCCAAGGGTTCTGCATTTTTCGCCTTCCGGATCGAGGGTTTAGGGTTACGGCTTGAAGGGATAGAGCTGCAGGTCCCAAAGGGTCCTATGTACTTCCCCCAATCCTAGTAGTAATTCCTAATATAGAAACCCTATATTCTACTATATCGGTACTTTGGACCCTTTGGGAGTTTGAAGCTGGGGCTGCTAGGCAGTAGGAGTTTAGGACTTTTTTCGGGTTTTGGGTCTCGGATTTGGAGGGTCAGGGTGGATTTGTGGGGGTCAACTTGGAAGATTAGGGGGCGTCGCAGGAAGGACGATCGCGAGAGTCTAGATATTGAAGGTTCTTCGGGAGTATGTGGGTTCTATGTTTAAATTTCGAAGTCTACTTGCAGGGCTCCGGTGCTTAAAGAATCTGGCGATACGCAGGGTTCACATTTCTAACTACGCTTGTAAACTTGCGCTGATGGATGATACTATTTAGATTTGTTTCTTCTGTCAGTAACATCATTGCATCATTCGTGATGTATGAGGTAGCAGCTGCCCACACTCTGCGACCTTACTTCTCGTGCCTCCTGTCGGCGGCTTTGTGGCCCTCAACTGCAACCCCAAGCCCCAAAGCGTAAACCTTAAAACCCTTAGCCACCAACCTTAAACCCCAATCCTTAACCCTTCAATACGTAAGGCCTTGAGCCCAAAGAGCCAGAAAGCCGGCGATACTGCAAAGGTGCCTGGTATGGGCTCTTGGTGGGGCTGCCCTGGGCCAGCGGATTTATAACCGACCTTGGGATGCTCTTGGATTTCAGGGCCTAGGATTCAGCTTGAGGTTTGGGGGGGTACATTTTGCAGGGTTCGGGCTGATCTGATGATCTGAGTTTCGGTTTCAGGGTTTGCTGATTGCATTTAGAGCTTAGGGTGTCTAGGGTTTGGACCCGCCGGGATGTTGCAGATAACCCTTTCCTGGATTTGAAGGGGATCTTCTCCGCGAGATCGATCAGCGGCTGTACATACAGGGGTATGAATCACGAATGCATTCTGCAGATTGTCCCAGTACATAAAGTTTTGCCAGCATCAACCCAGGCCCAGCCGCTATCAATGCTCAGGGCCTCTGTTTTCAACCAAGAAAACCTCTCTCAAACCCTATGAATAACCTCCAACAAGTCACCCATCATAGATAGCATTACCAACATTGCTAGCTTAGGTTTCCGGCTCGATCCTACGAATAAAGAAAGGCCTTCATATTTCACCTTATCAAATCCCTTTGAGGGCCGATTCTCAGGGGCTGGGTGATTGACTTCAAGAATCCCAAAGGTGGTGGAGGCGGTGGAGGCTCTAGAGGCTGTTGTTTCCTGAGTGAACCTTTCTTCTCTTAAAGGGACCCTGAAGAATTGCAGCTCTGTCAAGTTAACGACATGATTTATTTTTTCCAGGTTAGGGCTTCGGGTCTAGATGGGTGTAAAGGAAGCAAAAAGAGGACTCAGGTTGTTTTCAGCTCAGTTGAATGAAGGCTCAGGTGGCAATCTCTAAACCCCAGCCGAGGCAACAAGGGGCACTTGGCCTACCTGATGTCTTGCTGCACGGCGTTCGCTGTATGCCCTTTTCTGCTGCTCATCAACTCATCTCCGGATTCGCTGCAGCATCGCCGCATCCGGAGTTTGGCACACGGCACTTCTAATGCCTTTAAACCCTAACCGCTTAGATCGGCTTGGGGTATGGCGGGTTGCAGGATCAGCGGATTCGCAGTTGGAGGTTCGAGCTTCAGAGCGCATTGCGCGGTGCTGCAGGATCGGCATAGGCTGAATGCGAAGCCAAAGATACATTGCCAAGTTTGTGGAGCAATCCTATACCAAGCCCGCCGAGTCTCCCCAAGCAACCCTAAACCTTAAACCCAAGCCCCAAGCGGTGGGAAGATTGTCGGGGTAGGTAACAGAAGGATCTCGCTGACAGGTCCCTAAGAAGCTCGGATCCAGCATTGTAATGATAGGGCCTAAATTTAATTACCAATCAGTACTATTTTGAGGGGCTCCTTGCTATTATCATAGGATGATACGCCCCTCTATTGGCATGAGCCACGTGCCTTCTACGGTTCGATTGTATCAGGTCCTGGGGGCACGTGGTGGTCGAAAAGTTCAGGTGTCAGTTGGTCCATGATACGGCTTGTGTACAGCGTAAACCTGAGACCGAGCCCTGATCCCTAAACCCTAAACCCTAATCCCTAAACCCTAAACCCTAATCCCTAAACCCTAAACCCTAATCCCTAAACCCTAATCCCTAAACCCTAAACCCTAAACCCTAATCCCTAAACCCTAATCCCTAAACCCTAAACCCTAAACCCTAATCCCTAATCCCTATGAACCCTACACCGAGTCCCTCTCTGCTCCAAGGCAGACTTTGCCAGAGGATGGACAAGGCCGTGCCTCTTAGGATCTAGGGCCGGGTTCAGGTTCTAGCAAACTCTAGGATGCCCAGTAGTACCCTTATTCCCTTTTTGTAGTCCTAGGTTCCTTTTAAAGTTACCGCTTACGGTACAGAGATTTGGGTTTAAGGGTTGGGGCATGGAGTTTGGGGTTTGTGAGCTGCTGGCCTACTAGACTTGGAATGGCTGCCGGTCGTGCAAGCTCGCAAGCCACACACTTTGAGCCTTGAGCCCGTCAGAGCTTCAACGATCTAGAAGCCGGAATATTTCCTCACGTTTTTTACATCGTTCCTTGCTATAAGTCCTACTGGCAGTACACTCTACCCCAAAGCCATATGGGAGTTTCCAAAAATTTTTGGTACCTTATTTGGGTCCTTATAATCAGGATGCTATACTATTTAGGGGTCCTGTATTACGGTCCCCCATTTGCGGAAACCTTAGTAGCTGAGTGGATACACTACACTTTTGGGGATAATGTTACCCACTATAACTCTAAAAGTGTACACTTTTTGGCGGCTTATGAGCTTCCATATTCCCAAACTGGGTTGTGTTTTTGGATAAAAAAAATCACCGTATTCCCTTGTAGAGGGAACCGGTTCATAAGTAACTTTCAAAAGGGTTTAAAGCACAAACCAGCAAAGACTCAGGAAGTCATGAGCACCCTAAACCCTAAACCCCAAGTCATGTCATTCAAGGCTGAGGGAAGGGTACGGCTCCTCGCACGCTATTTCGGGGTGCAGGATACCATCCTGGTTTAGTTGGGGTTCCTTTAAAGGGGTCTTATCAGGGGTTCTATAAGGGTTACTATAAGGGCTACTACAAGGGTAGTACAATTAGGGGCCTAAATGATTATTTTGGGGGTTCCTTGTTATAGTTCACCGGGCCCCCCAAACCCTGTTCTCATTATTAAGGCCCTTTTCTCAGGTGAACGTTAAGGGGGAATCAAGCCTATAAACCGATAAGTCTATTTGGCCCGATATAGACCCAAAACCCTTAAACCTCATGCCTTACGCCCCAGTATATTCAAGCCCTTAATTGAAAACTAAAACCCCAAGCCCCAAGCCCCAGCATATTCAAACCCTTCAACCCTAAACCCAAAGGCCTTAGCCCCAGTGTATTAAAACCCACGAGAGGAGTCGTGCTGCCTTCAGCCTGGGCCCTCTTCGTCGCTTTCCTCGGCGGTGCGGCAGCAGTGCCTCTGCAGGTCTTTGAGTCTTTGGGTTTAGGGTCTAGGGGTTCGGACCGTCGGAGAGGTATAGGTCGAGGATTTAGGGTTTAATTAACATTCAGGGTCCAGGAGTGTTTGGATGGTTTGGAGTTTGGGGATTTAGGAGTTAATTAGGGCTTATACAGGGAGTTCAGGCGTTAAGGGGTTAGGTTGATGCTATTCTTGGATTTTTCGGGTTTCGGGTTTAGGGCCTATAGCTCTCCGAGCAGGTTGCTGTGCAGATAAGCAGAGGCTGCGGCACCGTATGCTTCAATCTCGGGGTGGGTACCTCTTTCTATATCACACTCATGGGCCGCTCTTCAAAGCGCTGAACTCGCCCCCTCGACCCTAAACCGTCTACGGTCCCAAAAGCAGCATGTGCGAACCTTAGGCCCCAAACTCTGAACCCCTGCAAACAAGCATGAACACCTTATGGGGTGGTTGTCAAAATTATGGTCCTTTTCCTATTATAGTACGGCACCTAATATTCAGGGTACCCAAAAAGGAACCTAATTTTAATGATCAAGCCCCCTATATTTGCCCCGAAGCCCCCAAGACCTCAAACCCGAAGCCCTGAACCCAAAACCTAAACCCTATAAGCCCTACAGCCCACAGAGCCCTCGACAGGGATCCCTCCACCCAGGTGACGAATCCGAACCTCAAGGGCCTTCTCATGAGTCTTTCCCGCAACAGAGGCTTCCAGAGACCCCGGTCTCCTAGCGATGTTTAGGAGTTTAGGGTTTTTAGGGGATTTAGGGATTTTGGGTTTTGGGGGTTTAGGGTTTTAGCGGTTTAGGGTTTTTAGGGGTCTAGGGGTTAAGTGTTATTGGCTGGACTCCCCAATGTAGTTTAAGTTAAGCCTCAGGTGGCTATGATTACATCCCCTTTGCAGAGAATCAGAACAGGAACCAAACTGGAATGACTCTTTGGATTTCCTAGTAACAGCAAAAGAAAAATTTCGGGTTCGTGAGGCCCCATATATTGAACAGTCTACGAATACGGGTCTGTCTTCGAAGGTCCTAGATTGGGCCCAATTCAAGTAAGCCCGCAACTCGCAACCCCTTTATTTAGGTTGGAGGGTTTATGGTGCAGGGGCCCAGAAGCAAAACCGCAGATAATCGCTTCGCGCAAAACCTTGTACCGATCGTTTTCCAGTCTATGGGCGAGACAAATTATGGATCTTAGTATTATGATGTATGGTGTTATCGGACCAGGGCTTCTCAGTTCCATTGGGGTTGAGGAACAGTGCATCGCGAAGGAACGTAAATACATCGGCTACGAGAGGCACTGTCTTCGCTTTAGCCGCTTGGCAAGAGCTTTACGGTTCGATTCCCAACTCCAGACCTATGATTCAGATGTGCACGCACTTAGTTTTGAAGGGTTTTGGGCTTAGGTCCCTCGCAACTCGAATCGTGTAGTTGGATCCTACAGGCGCCCCGAAAGCTTTCACCTTCTCCTGGTATTCTGGTTATTATAGCTCCGGACAAGGTAACAGGCAGGATCGGACTATCAGTCAACTAGGTAACTGTTCACGCTTTTGGCCAGTATAATACCCCCCCGCCCCCCCAAAAAAAAAAATAAAAATAAAAAAACACACACAGAATACACATAGACACCATCCTAGACCTAAACCTTCCCCGGGCGTAAGTTGCTGCGGGAGTGATGGCTTCAAGAGGATGGGCTTCTTGATGTTCCAATCCTCTGCAAAATTGCTTTATGCCCTAAACCCGAAACCCTATACTTCTGCCCTACATAAGGCAAATTCTGTTAGCTTAAGACCGAGCCTCGAGCCGATCCAGTGCCTTCAAAAGACGTCCCAGTGTCATCATCCGAACATCTTGTACCGCCTGGCACGGACATGGAAGAAGGAACTGGCTTTGTTTTCCGCAGAGCTGTTGAAGGCGTCTTGGCCGACGGGGTTTAGGCACAAGTCTTGGGCTTGCTCGATGAACGGCAGAACATTCGTCTGAGTCGACAAAATCAAAAAGATTGGGTCCATCAACGAACATTCCCTTCACATTAAACCCATTTTCGGTGTCTGTCTCTCAAGAGACGGGTGCGGGACCTTCGGAGAAAGTACCACTGCATCTTTAAAGAAAGCGCTTAACGTGGGACTTCTGGCAGCCAGACTGGGACTGGAGGGGTATATAGTTGCTGGCCTTCAGAGTCTCCGGGTAGGGATGCTGTTAGGATCAATTTAGGCTCTAAGGGTTTAGGGTTGAGGGTGGAGAATGGGACAACTTGTTCTAGGAAAGTCTACGCAACTTGGACGTAGTCCTTGCGAGGGAGTCTCGTCGGCAAGACCCATTGAAAAAGGATTGTCTGCTGACTTACCCCAACGATCCTAGACCCAAAACTTCAAACTCAAACCCCAAACGCAAGACCCTGAAAGCCCTACCTTCATAAAATCCTTATACAAAGTGCTCTTGAAACCAAAAGTGAGTCGCCACCTGTCTTATGAAGCTCCCAGGTAACCTTGACAGATGATGTCGGGAAGGGGCTCGGGCCGGAGGCCGGAGGCTGTTTCGAGCGGAGGGGGGGGCCGATTTTTGGGATCTTCCAGGACGCCCCAAGGGCCCTGTAACAGAGGCCTAATGGTCCTTAAAAGTGAGTACTTCCCCCAATTAAAAAGCGAACTTTGAGCACTTTGAGGTTGCTAAAATTCTCTGAAAAGACTAAGACGTTGAGACCCTCGGTTCCCCAATACCCAACCTTTAAACTTTTTGGGTAGGAATCGGAAAGCCTAACCTTGCATTTTTGTGGCTTATTGGGGGTGTATGGATCTTTGGGATCTTCAATGAGGCTTCCCCTAAACCCTGAGACCTTGGAGGGTTCCCGGCTAAATGCGGATAAGCTAAACTGGTGGGTTCGCGCAGGGGTAGCTTGTCTTACGCTTTTGAGCTCTGAGTTATGGTTTTGGCGTGTGATTGGGGGTCTGGAGGTTGTGAGGTTAGGGTTAGGCTTGAAGGTTTAAGGTTTTCGTTTAAGTCCCAAGCTCAACATGGCATTCACTGTTTGGATACTTTCCAGGGCGCTACATTGCAAGTCTTGCATTGTATACTTGGAGGTTCATGGGTAGGTATAAGTGGGGTTGTAAGTAGGTAACTAGACTGATAACTCATATTAGGGGACTTTTTACCCTTCTTACTGTATGGGGCAGTACCTACGACATACATCCTTCCCGTTCTCGAGCCGCTGGTCCAACATGCAATTAGAGGCAGAAGCCTCGTACATGTCAATTTTCAGCCGCAGGTCGTTGCGCTGGGCGTTTCTGCCTTGGGTCGGCGCCTTGCGCTGTCCATGGCTATGGCTTGCTGGTTTCTTGGCGGTAATTGCTATCATAGGAGGCCAAAAGGGGCTTTAGCCTATGGGGGTTTAGTAGGGATTAGGGTTCCCATGATAGGGTTCATATTAAAGGGAACTCTTTCTGGAATATGGTTTCAGAGTAGGATACCTTATAATCTACCATAAAGATTTTAGGATATTCATATTCCAACTTTCTGGCTTTTACTTTAAGGAATCCCTACCCCAAGAATCCTTGTCCTTCTTCATGGTTCCCCCAAAAGAATAAACAGACCGGCTAGTAGACCTTCTTAAATAATTCCGACTAAGGGATATAGGTATAGGGCTCTGTCTATTGTTTCTAAAAGGACAAGGGTGCTTGGCGGTAATTGCTATGCTGGGGACTGAGGGTTTAGGCGGTTAAGGGTTGAGGGTTAAGGGGTTAGGTTTCGGCTTCAGGCTAAGAGTTTAGGGATTTAGGGTTAAGGGGTTGGGTTTAGGGTTTGGGTTTAGGCTAGGGGTTAGGGTTTAGGGTTTAGGTTTCAGTGTACAGGTTCAGACTGGTGTTGCTAGGAATCGTCTTTCATTGTTTTTAGACTAGAAACCGAGGGCCTATGAGAGACAGTTGTTGTTTTGTGGGTCGAAGGGGGCTTGCAGTAGAGCTTCGGTTTAGGGCCTAGGCGTCGGACTTAGGTTCAGGGTTGAGGCTTCGGGTTTAGGCTGCATTCAGGGTTGAGAGTTTAAGGTCTAGGGTTGAGATTCAGGGTTGTGTTATTTTGAGTTCATGGTCCAGGGTTTGCATTTCATCCGAACCTGCAGCCTCAATTGCTTCGTGGTGTTTAGCAGATCCCTCTGATGGCCCCTGAAGTTTTACATCTTGGGCGGAGTCTTTAACGGTCAGGGTCCCCGTCTGTCTTGTGGGGAAGCTCCGGGGGCGTTGGGCCGGACGAGTAGGTGCCTGACTCATATCAGACGGCCGGTTCTTGGGGTTTTGCGCCTCCAGAGGTTAGGTTTTCGGTTTGGGGTTGGGGCTTTGGGATGTAAGGTCTTGAGTTTCAGGTTAACTGAGCCGGTCGATTGAGGCACAAATTTAGAACTGAGGACACCCCCAGTAAGGCAAGCCCAAGACCTCCTTTCGAATCCACATTCTAAACGCCTGAACCGTAGAGCCCCAACCCTCAGAGCCTGACGCAACCGCCGAAATCCCGCAGCAAACCCCGAAGCCCCCCAAACCCTGCGCCGTCCATGGAGAGGTTCCTTTGTTCGTTGCTTCTCTACTTCTCACGTTGGACCATTGTGCCCTCGAGCTGCAGATGGGGTTCAATTAACTGGGACGCCTATTCGGCAAAGGTTCTGGGTCTACTCTGACGGCCCGTAGCCATTTCGAGAATGGGGATAAAGCCCTAAACCCTAAACGGCCCTAAACCCTAATTAGGGTGCCTATGGAATCCGCTCTTCGAGGGTTGAGCCGTGCTACAACGATTTCTGGCTTTGCCCTCAATGCACCAGGGGGGATGATTTCCCAAACGTAGCTTCAAGACAAACTAAGTGTGCGGTTCTCTAATTGAGGGTCTCGTTTAGGAACGTTGTTATAAGGGTGCCGTAGTGTTTGGGGATCGCAAAAGGGACTCTACCTTAGAGAACTACCCAAATACCATAGTTGTGATCCGTTCTTGAGGGCCTAGGGTAGGGTTTACAGAGGCGAGACGGTCGAATCCATTGAACTTCTTTTCGGACCTTGACGAAGATAGATCGAGATCCGTTGCCCAGCCCACTAAGCCCCAAACGCTATACATCCTAATAAACACCATCAGCCTTTGCACAAGCCTTACTTTATCATGGTTGTAATCGGGCGGTTCGGTCGATACGTATGCGGTGTTTAGTGGTATGTGTATTGCCAGTATTGCGGAGTTTCGGTTCGGTGCGGTAGCGATGCGCCACACCGAATACCCACCAGACCAGCCACGCCAGCCAGCCAGACCCACAAGCCACCCCAGCCAGCCACCCAGTCACACCAGCCACACCATTCTCCCTCTGGTGGCTAGTGCTGGCTGGAGGGGTGGTGGCTGGTGATTGCAGGGGGCTGGTGGCTGGTGGCTGGAGGGATTGTGTCGGTGGCAGCTGCCAGTGGCTGGTGGCTGGCGGCTGGGTGGTGGGTGGAGTGGTTGCTGGTGGCTGGTGGGGGTTGGTGGCTTTGGCTGGGGTGGTGGTGTGGCTGGTGGTGGGATGTTGCGATACTCTTTGCTGCGGACCGGTTCGATCGGTTCGGGGTACATGGCCACAGAATCAGTGATAATTACAAACGATTCGGTTAGTGATTCACCGCGCTATGCTATTAAAGTATTGTTGGAACTGAAACCTGCAAGGAAAGATGTCCTTCGCGTTGAACGTCTTGAGAAGCTGCCGGCAGCGGCTGTCTAAAGCATCCCGGGCGGAACGGAATGGGAGTTGCTTCGGGTTCCTTTGATGAAGTGCTTTCGGTTTAGGGCTTTGTGCCCAGTAGGTTTAGGGTTTAGGGTCTAGCTTCTTTAGTGAATTGGGTTTTGGTGTTTAGGGGGTCAGGGTTTCGCAGTTTGGGGATGTAGCATTTCCGCATCACCGTCACCACCTGGAACCCTGCAAGCCAGCCCCAAACTGTAAGTACAGCTATGTGCCTCGTGCACAGAGTCGACAACCTGACACCTAAATGGGAGTTTCCGAAGATTAGGGATACCTCATTGTGGGGTCCTTATAATACGGATCCTTATTTTAGGGCACTGTAGTGCCTGAAACAGTAGGATCTTTCTTATGAGGACCCCAAATAAGGTACCCCGTACTTTTCGGAAACTCTCAAATTGACCCCAAGCCCTGAACCCAAAGCCCAGTAGTCTCGACCTTTGCCTTGAAGCTTCCATCATCCTGAAAACCTGTGAGTCCTAAGCCTTACCCATAGGCCCCCACGGTTTAGGGTTTAGGATGAGCCCCCAAAAAGGAACTATTATGGGGCCTCTGGGTAAACCCTAAGCAAGAGCTTTCCTGCCCGTGTTGCTTTGGCTTCGGTGCCGAGCACAGTCGATCTACACAAGTGCCTTCGTTTGGGCTTAGGCTGCATTAAGGGTTTAGGGGTTTAGCTTTAGGGCTAACGGGCCCCTAAACCCTAAACCCCTAAACCCTAAAGCCTAAACCCCTAAACCCTTAACCCGTTTACCGATGCTGGTAGCTGGGTGTTGGATTGAACGCTTTTGCTTTAGGGCTGCAGGGTTTCGATGCAGGGCTTGTGGGATTTTGCGATAGGGGCCTAAATAATAACCTGTACTACTATGGGGGTTCCGTATTTTCTTTGTAGGATAATGGGCCCCAAAACCCCATGCTAATTATGAAGGCCCCTACACAAGCGTGTTTCGCTTTAGGGGTTTCAGGGTTTAGATGCAGGGCGTTGGGACTGGATGTTTGGTCCCAGGGTTTGAGAGCGTCTTATAGTAGAAGCCAGAAAGTTGGAACATGGATGTAGGATGATTAGTGCTGGGCTCCCCTATACTTTACCTTAAGCGCATGAGGACATTGATGTTCCAACTTTCTGGCTTCTACTATACTTGCAAGACAGACGGAGGGACTCGGGGGAGATGCTTGTACCGATAGTCGGAACAAGGGTGTTTGGTGTGCGGGCCTTGAGGTTTAGAGGGGTTCCTCAGGATCAACCCTAATACCTAATCATCTAAGAAATTCGGTATAGATGAAGGGATGCAACCAGGCTTAAGATTCCGGGTTTTCAAGAATTTCGGGTCTTCAACCCCAAAACCCCTGAAGACCCAAGCTTCAAGCCCGAATTCCTAAAGCCCAAACCTTAAACCCTATAAGTCTTAATGTAGGAACCTGACTAAGAAACCTTGAGCTTTTCATAGGGTTCCTTATATGAATCCTACTATATCGGGGTTATAGGGCCAGGGTTTCTTAATCAGGTTCCAACATTAAACTCCAAATCCAAACGGCGGGGTTCACTTCTTGGTATCGGGTCCTCGTCCATTGCACCTCTCGGGTGCTATCGGAAGTCCCAAGATCTGCGCCAGGTTTATGGGGCGCAGGGCTTGTGGTTTGGGGGCTTCAGGGTTTGGGATTCAGGGTATGAGGTTTGAGGCTTTGGGTTTAGGGGTTTAGGGCATGCCCTCCCCCGTCTCGGCTTAGGGTTTTCGGGAACAGTGGTTGCGAGTTTAAGATTTGGGCTTTGTGTTTAATACGTGGCCAGTCTGACATGAGCATCGGTGTCGGAAAAGCATGCGCTACAGTTCCTCCATAAGCCTTCCATGGAAATTTAGTAGCATCTTACGGGAGAAACCACTGTAAATTCACTTAGGTGCTGTTCATTGCGGCGCTTGGGCAACTTCAACACTTCAGGGTGATCTGCCAATCCCTAAACCTAAACCCTGAACGCTGAATCACTTCGGGGTGGGATCCGGAGCCTCCGATAGCATCCGAGCTGAATCTCAGAACGACGTAGCTTGCGCGGTGCTTGCACAATGCAACCATCGATTCGCTCAAATCTCTGAGCCCTGCTTTTCGACAGTCTACTGTTAGGGTTTAGGGTATAGGGCTGTGGCTTAAGGGCTTTGATTCTAGGACACATGCTTTGACCTGAGTTCGTTTCCGATGCGCAAAGCATTGTGCGTTGTGTTGGGTGGCTGTAGTGATTCAAGGCCATTGCATGGCTCCGCCCCAAAGCCTCTCCCAAGTCAAGCCTGCGCGTAACATGAGGCAGCGTAGGTATGAATCCTCAGAGTTCCCTTTGCAGACTTTCGAAAACACCTGAGCCAGAAAAACGAAGCACAAGTAGTACAGCCCCGAAGCACCTACTTCGGAGGCCCTAATGCCTTTCCCGAAGACCCAGCAACCTGCACGCTCTCAATCCTTCGTCTCCCACGGACGTGAAGTAATCTAAGGGCCCTAATAATTAGAATAGGGTTTTGGGGGGTATGCGATACTATATACTTATAATAAGGAACCCCCAAAACCCTATTGTAATTGTAACGGCCGTACATTAATCTCTCAACCTCCGACCCTCGAATGTTGGGTGTGTAAATGCGGTGGTGCCGCTCGAGGCTCTGTCTGCCTGTCTCTCTCTCTCTCTCTCTCTCTCTCTCTCTCTCGCGCTCTTTTCGGTCTCTCTGACTGCATTATGTCTTCTACATATCTATGTGTGTATGTGTATATAGATAGATAGATAGATATTTCGGTATGTATACATATGCGTATACATATACATACACATACACATATACATTTACATATGCATATGCATATACATATACATATACATATACATATACATATACATATACATATACATATACATACATGTTCGTAAATATAGATATACATATACATATTCATACACGTTCGTCTATTTTTATACCATATGTATATATATATATATATATGTGTGTGCATTGATTGATAGATTGATAGGTAGATCGATTGATTGATGGATTGGTTGGTTGGTTGGTTGGTTGATTGCTTGATTGATTGGTTGTTTGGTTGATTAGTTGTTTTTTTTGATTGGTTGATTGGTTGATTGGTTGATTGATTGATTGATTGATTGATTGATTGAATGATTGTATGTAGCCCTGGTAAGCGGTTTTGCAGTTTGAGGGGTCTCTCGCGTGAATGTGTAGGGGTTGACGGTGTGCGGCTTTTGGCTGGAGTTTGATTTTAGGATGTTAATGTTTACGGTTTAGGTTTTAGGTTCAGGGTTCAGGATCATGTTTTTTGGTTTTAGAGCGATTTACGAGTTAAGTGGGTTTCGGTGTCTGGGTGGTCTTCTAGGGCTTTTCTGGGCTCAGATGAACCTTTCAGACGCTCAGTCGTGCTGTGAGCGAAAGCTCATGCGATGCAGTTCGGCAGAGAAATGTCGCAGATGTTTCGGGCTCGGGAACTTTTACAACTGCAATCCCGAAGCTTTGGAATCCAAATCCTGGATACTACTGTACACCCTAAACCCGAACATCAACCTCAAGCATCCCACAGCCCAAATCCCAACGAAAGATTGAAAACCTAATGCATTTCAGCCTTGCATTTCTGTATGTGTGCAACGAGGCTTCGTTCCCTAAACCCTACAAAAGCCTTATGAAACCTTCTTCTTGCGATGCCAGTATGCACAAACAGTTAGGGCACCACGACTACCATGATGACCGTGACAACGACGACGACCAAATCAATCACGACCACCACGACTACCAGGAAAGTCCACCAAGAGACCTCCTGCAGAGACCACGAGGAGACTTCAGGAGATCGACAGGACAGACAGCCAAACTGCTTCCCCCAAACACTGGCGCGATTCAGGAGCAGATCCGAAATGCTTTCACGATCCTGTGGAAATAACAGGTCCGCACGGAGCTACATCGCGGCGGCAGACGCTGTGCAACAACCCCAACCAGTTCTCTTTATCTTTAACGGTCTTATTAACGTTAGGACCCCATCGTGTGTAAGATACAAGCCAGAACAGCTTCAACAATGATAGTTAGTTGAGTACATTCATAGTAATCGTCAGAACAGATTCAACAATGATAAATGTCAATTAGTTGATGACATTCATAGTCATAGTCATAATATTTTTATAGTAGTAACAATAATAACAACAATAATAACAACAATGATAAGAACAGCACAAGAAAAATACATAATAGGCTATTTCTCGTGCATCCTCCCGCCTCCGCGTCCCGCGTCATACCCGAAAACGAATATTGTGGCATTGTGGCGGCCTGCACATTACCACCGCTGCTTGGCGGAGCCCTAAGCCCCAAACTCCAGGGTCAACATAGGCTCCACCTGGTAAGGTATTCCCTCTGGTAATGCAGTCGGAAAAGGGCCCGCAAAAAAAAAAAAAAACCCAGACCCTAGACCCCAAACCCAAAACTCCAAGCCCTAAACCCCAAGCCCTCAACCTCAAGCCCTCAACCCCAACCCTAAACCCGTCAGGTCAGGAGATTCCTTGGCGCCTGTGCGGGCCTTGGTCACGAAGGGCTTCCAAGTTTTATCTGGGTTCTTGTTCAGGAACTTCCTAGTAGTAGAGCAGGTAACCTTTAACCTTTTTTGGGTAGGATAGTCCCTATAGAATCCCTATATAACCAAAAAGGTTAACCTTTAGTTCGCCATGATACCCGACAAGTGGGACTTAATTTACGCTACCATACTAGGGATCTATAGTAGACAATATGGTTTTTTTATGGTAACTTAATAAATTAAACCCCTTTACACGAACCCAGTTATAGGGGGCTCTACCTCCAGGATGGGGGATGAACAACTTCCCTATACTATTTTGGGTTTAGGGCGTGGGGTTTAGGGCTCAGGGCTCCTGAACCTACCGAAACCTCATCTTTGTAGGGCACTTATCTTGAAATTCCATACTCGTTTCTTGAATACGAACCTGCGTAACAGCAGTTTTGGGTTAA